TCCCACCTAGCCACCCACCCCCCGGGGTACAGCAATATACCTCACCCGGGAGGTAATCGCCTTGTGGTGCGTTACAGGAATATGACGCAAACGTAATACAGGGAAAAACAGTAGTAACAAAGACAATGTGATGGAAAGAGGAGAGGGGGAGAGTCATGGCGCATGTCAGGCGAATGGGGAGTGAGGGTGCGGCAATCGCCAGGGCATAGAGGGTATCTCCTCACTGTCCCTCTCGCATTGCTCCCCCTCGTCACTATTTTCCTTCTCCTGGTGGAGCCCTCCCACACCGTCGAGAGCTAATATAAGGGATCATTTTGGGTAAGTGTGTGGGTACAGTTGGTCTGATGGGCGGCGGGAGGGGGAGCGAGTACAAGTGGTCTCTGGACACAGGGAGCTGGGATGTACACGCGCGAGGGAACCGCACCTCTTTGCAGGGAAAATTGACACTGGGGAAGCAATTTTCATTGACGAAGGGGGTGATAACAGAGCTTGGATTTTAGGATTACTATTTCGCACGACGAATTGCTATTTCGAAATTCACATAGCGCTGCTCGAATGTTCTATATCGTTCACATTCGAGATAAACGTCAATCCATAATTGTCCCTCACTGTCCTTCTGGACAATTTCCGAATATTCTGTAATAAAAGGTATTTAAAGCCTCATGCTGACTTTATTTCTACAAGCTACGAGTCTTTATTTCGCTACCCGCACTCAGTTGGGACTTTTTTTGTAAGCGTAATTGGGGTAAATATCCGAAATATCTATTTCACGGTATTCGTTATTGATATTGCAATATTCTTAGAATTTCACGTTGATATTTGAATATAGTTGTGGCATTTCAATATTTGTGCTCAACATGGGTATTAATTTTTTATGTTGGAATATTAATATTTTCAGACAGAATTTTCATCTGGATGTACTAATACTGAGATATCAATCGTGATATACTCATATGCAAGCATATATTAAATAGTTTCATGGTATTTCGACATTAATACTTCACGCCGTAATATTTAAATATTTAATAATAGTATTATCAATTCAATATAAATACGAATAGTGACATATCAATCATGAAATATCCATAATTTATCTATAAAAAAATTCATTTTGAGATTTTCAATTATGATTGTTACTATTACAGTGCGCTGTAGCGCGCGTTCGGTCTCGGATTAGAGGTGGGATCGGCATGCGGGAGACCCGGGTTCGATTCCCGCACTGATAGACAGGACTAGTTATTATTAACAAATGGATTTGGATGAAGGCTAGGGTCTATTTGGTCTCACCAAATGTTCATTCGTTAAGAGTTAACGAAGGCATATTCGAGAAGTCTTGTTTGACTCGACTTTCACCTTTCAAGTGAACTATTCGTTGACTATTAACGAATATTTATTTGGTCATATTCAACTTCACCATTCGTTAATAGTTAACGAATCTTGTTTGGAATAAATGAATCATTCTATCAGTGTGGCTGGTGGGGCCAAAATTTGTGACACTCTAAATCTCGCTCTCTCTCTCTCATTTGTCAAGCGGGAGTTTCGCACGAGACGTCTGTAACTGGGCAGGTTTTTTCCTCAAATGAGGTTTTCCCTTGTCCTTCGGCGAATGAGGTACAGGGGGTTGGGGGTTGGGGGGTGGGAAGGGAACAAATCGTAAAAACCCGAAAGGGTATATGAGAGAAAATTTTGGTCATAAAAGTGTCAAACAACTTTTAATAAGCCTTTTGTAATCGGAAGGTCTTGGCTTCGATTCCCGGCCTGAGTTATCAACTTTTTCAGTGAAGCTTCTTGTGAGCTAATATCGAAAATAATCGTGGCTCATCTCCTGCCTGATCCAAAATCTCATCCGCAACTTTTCCATGATGATTCGACTCGAGAGGACACCACCATAAAATGCTCCATTCCAACTTAATCCGTGGGTCGTACTCATTCCAGCGTCATTCATATTCTCATAAACTTCGAAATTTGTGTGAAAAAAGAGTCTCCAAATGAAGAGAAAGGACTGCAGGCGATTTATAGTATCATCCTCAATTTTGTCTCGACGCTCGGCCAAATATTTGATGTGTAGCCAATATGTACTCCGACATTAATCCTCTTTGCTCTTTTCCATCCCTCAACGTTTTTCACCGCTCCATTCAGAAAATCGAGGGATCCTTTTGTAAAAGGGATATCATCGGTGCAGGGGAGCTTAACGTGTGGGAGGGACTGGCCATCAGGGATAGGTAATCGCTTGTGTTAATCCTCAGTGCGCTGATATGTGTCTTAATTGACGACTTTGCGTTGGTCATTGGATAATTGCGGACCTTTGAGAGGATGTGTGGCCCCAAAATGGAATTCATGTTTTGGAATTAGTAGAGCGATATGAACTTTTAACAAGAATCGAAGCAGCTTTACGATTGTTGATGTCCAAATATTTGGAGACCAATTGAAAATATAAGAAACCCAAACAAAGAAAGCTTTGACGATTTGGTCTGTAGTTTCAGGTGATGCTTGAAATAGTAAAACTAGGTTCTTTTGCCTCAGAAATCGTCTGGTGGGTGGAGGAATTGACGATAGCCAATACTACGTGCAGAGGTACTTTGTATTCGCAATTCTAGAAAGGGTCCGGGTACTATTCCCTTTTGGGGTGCGCTTCGTCTTCGAAGACTAGTAGAGCGATGTGAACTTTACGAGATAACTCAGCAGTTTTCGTAATTGCTGATGTCCGTACATTTGCAAACAAGTTGAAACTATAAGAAAGTCTAACAAAACCAACTTTTCCCGATTTGGTCTTCACCTTCAGATGATGCTTGAGGTTGTAAAACTATATCACCATTGCATGATATCTAGCGATTATTGAGAGGACAAGTGAATTGATGGTTGAGAGGTGACATCGTTAGGCAGCTGAAGGCATTGATGATGGAAAACACCACGTAAAGAGGTACTCTGTATGAGCGATTCTAGAGGTGTTAGGGGTCGTATTCTATTTCGAAATGGAATTCATGTTTTGGAATTAGTAGAGCGATATGAACTACTAATAGCAAGAATCGAAGAAGCTTTGCGATTGTCGATGTCCAAATATTTGGAGACAAGTTGAAAGCATAACAAACCCAACCAAAACAACCTTTCCAATTTGATCCTTACCTTTAGGTGATGCTTGAGGTTGTTGACACCAGACAGTGTAGCACCGCGTAGCGTCTGCCGGTTGGCATGAGGACTCGGAAGAGAAGCACACGTGTTCGTCCCTCCCTCCGCCGGAATTCCCACAAACTCCTCCAAAAATCCTTCACAACATTTTTTTCACAAAACAAAATCAAACCGGCAGAAATCCCCAAAACTCTTCCGAGGAATTCCTCAATGTTTCCCGGACGGAGGGACTTCTGTGGTGATGTTCAAGGGGCCGAGGGCTATCACGAGTGCGTGATGACGACTGGTTGAGTTGGGGCGTCGGTGGCAAACAGATTTCGTGGATTCTCCAGCTGAGAGCCGGCGACGCCGCTCCTGGGCATGCGCATGTGGATCCCTCAAATGAGCCTGCGGCCAGGCACGTCCGAGCGGAAGCGGACTGATGTGATAAGGGGGAATTTTCACATCTCGGTGCGGTTTCTCTGCACACGTTAGGGATGAAAAAAATCAAAGGGATTTAGATTATCATACAGCTATCTCTCTTTTTGGCCCTGGGGATTTCCATGAATTTGTCCTTGTGGTGGAGTAAAAAAGGCGTAATTGAAGAATTTTAGCTATCATGCTAAGAAGGGCGTATCTCCAAACTCACTGGAGGGGAATGTTTTCCTCATTTCACACTTACATTATCAAAAGGGCGTAAGTGCCCACGCATTGAAAAGAGTGAAAAGGCCGTATCTCCACACTTACAATAAATTCAAATATGAAAAAGGCGTAACGAAAATGAAAATTTGGAAATTTTGAAAATTTCGAAAAATATTGATGAATAAGAACAAACCAAAAAAATCAAATTAAAAAAAAAATGATGAACGAAATTAAACAAAAATGAGAAAAATGGAGAAAAAAAATGTTTGAAACAATATTTGTTTTCAGTTTATGTCCAATAATTCTTCTCAATCAAGTATTTTATTTAATATAAAAAAATATTGAATTTGATTTAAAAAATATGAATATGACTTACCAAGCCACTTGGTGATGTTTTACGGGATATGGTTGTTTTCAGTTTGAAACTTCTTCGTGAGAAAAAATTATTTATGCAATGTCTTTTCCATTACCCCACTCCAACTGTCCATATTTTACTTTTTCCACTGGATCTTCCTGGAGTACGTGACAGTTATTGTCGTTGTTTCCTCTTTCTCGCACGGGGGAAATCAAACAAGTTGTAAAAAAAAACCATTGAAACAAGAGGACAAGAGTTAGGATAATACCACTCCACTGATTCTCACTTTTTTTCAATGCTCCTTCCCGCTTGTTTCTCAGCTTCTTTTCATCAACAAAAGTCTCATTTTTTTTGCCAACGGACATTGTCCTGAAATATGAAGGAGGATTAATGAGATATTGGCGAATGAGGGAGTCGGAAAGGGGAAAAATTTTGTTTTACGAGGGGACGGAAAATGAGTTTTTTCAGAGCCCGTGTCGTCTCGATGGAGTTTAGGATATGTGAGAGAAGCTCGTAACTCGATGGGAATATCAAGATATTGGTGAAATAATATTTCGCCGTGGTGTGAGAGGGGCGTAATTGCCAAAAAATTCAGCATTCAAAATAAAAATTTGACTAGAATGAAAATAAAAATTTTACTAGAGTAAATTTTTTTATTCAGCGAATTTCCCCCGTCAAGAGTCAAAGGAAATGTTTTTTTTTACTAATAAAAAAATCGAATTTTTTTTTTGAGCAAAAAAATTCCAGTCAAAGAGGCTCGACCTATTTATCTCCCAATGGCAATTGTTTTTCCCTCCTCGCCAGCCATATCTCCACATTTGAATAATTCATGATTCACAGATTAACGAAATAGCTCGTTAACGTTGTGCATGAGCACATTTAACGATGCTCGACGTATCGAGCTTAATCGGGAAATTTAATTTCATGGTAGTAGGCGTTTGCAGACGCCCCGCTGTGGAAAAGGGGGTTGCAACATGGGACATTGCGAGACACCTCGTCCGTGACACCAAGTGTAATGCCGGGATTTTCATTCCCTTGTTGACAAAGAAATGAAAAATTCTTTGTCAACTTTTTGTTTTCTATACACTCTCTGTGACTTTCAAAAGGAAATTAATGAATGGAAACTTGCTTTCGTTACAACATAGTCAATATATTTTTACTAATAAATTAGCAATTTGCTTTTGAATGGAATTTCTATAACGATGTATTTTAAGTGAATTCAAAATGTTGGGCCAACATTGGCCCACCGTTGACAGCCAACATTACCCTAATGTTGAATTTTTTCCTTGCCCTGAATATTGGTTTCAAAATAAATTTTCTCAACAATTACTGGTCTAAAAATAGCATATTCGAACTTCTCAAGCGAGTTATCCTGACACAAAAAATTGTAAATTTCGGATGTGTCGGTAAAACAAAAATATTTTTCTCCATTCCCACAAGTTGGCGCAGATACCAAAATATCGGGGCAAAACGGGTGGTTGGAAAAACAAATTTTTTCACGCCTCTGTTTTTTTATTGGAACTGTAATATTCCGGTCCCCATAAAAATGAAATATGACATCTTCTCCTTCCGGAAGACGAATCTATCAAACCTCGTTTTCACTGTGTCATGGGCTTTCCTCCAGCCTGTGACAATCTCATTTAAAAAAAAAACTCGAGACTTTCCAACAAATTTTCTTATTTTTTTCTCATTTCCCTTTTGCGAAACACACGTGTAAATCAGAAAAATAAAAGTGAGAAAAATATGATGAATCACTGAGACGCGTCTCCACGAGAATATCGGATTTTCGCATATTTATTGAACGAGGAGTTAGCTATTGCGTTGATACGCAGATGGAAAGAAAGTGAACGGGAGAGAAAAAGAGGCATCCCATCGACATTTCCTTTAATTTTCTGGAAATCTAGTTAAATCCGTATCTTTTCCTTCTTTTTCTACATCTCAATGGAGGAAAGAAGACTCGAGTTTGAGGAGATGAAGACTAACTGATTGTAGACACAAACGAGATTTGATTATAAAACCCGTTGGATCGATGTTTCAATTAAAAACTTTTTCATCATTTTATCCGAGTTTAGTGTGATTTTCAACTGATGATAGAATAAGTAGTAATTTAAAATTTATACGGAGGAAAAATAATCTACATAAAAAGCAGCTTTTGAAATAATAAACAGTATGTCATGTAGTGCAGAGTTTCAATCAATTAATATCTATGAAAATCTCTCAATTTCCGCCTCAATCAACTATTGAGGCTTAGATAGAAAAGTTTGCTCAATTGGCTCAACTCGCTCGTTCCGCTCTGCTTGAAAATTGGACGATAAATAGTTGTATTATACCCCTGGGTTCGTTGACTGATAATTATTCTGTTTTCAAATCACACAGTGAGTTACATTTGCTCATCTCATGCCATTGGATTCATCTTCTTATATTCAGCCTATTGGTTTAGTTTATATGCATTCCTCTATTTCGCTAGATTTGCTTAAATCGCTCATTTCCCTTATTTGGCTCTTGAAAATGCCAAAATACCTAGGCACTATAATTTTGGGATATTCTTCCATTCTCTCATTTCCTCTCAAATCTCGTGACATCCCTAGACTCGTCAATTTTTGCTCATTGAGCTCGTCACAGTGTTGTCCAACACTTGTGAAATGTCTCAAATTTCACTAGTTTCACCACGCGCTGAATCAGTTGTATCAACTCCAATTCTGCTTTAGGCTGCAAAATTCCAGATGTCATTCTTTCAGTCGCTCATTTCGCTCCATTCGGTCAATTTGGTGGATTGTTCAATCTTTCTAATGGATATGGATTTATCTCCTAGTAGTTTATAATTTGCCTATTTTCCTTGACTCGCTCATTCCGCTCGTTTCACACGTCCCGGTGAAAGGCTGCCTATCTCGAAAAATCACTCAAATATTCAATTCCAACGCCTCAATTCCTTTATAGAACGCCTCATCGGTACAAATTCAAAGGACAATTATTTCATCATAAATACAATGTGATTTTTCTGTAATTGGCCGCAATTTTATTGACATCTTGTCATAATAAACATGAATATTAAAATGGTACTTATGAAAAGTGGGCGTTTACCTCCTGCTGCCCCTCGGAATTTACGGATTACGGCGCAATTTATTTACATTTTCCCTCGAATGGACGCGAGAAATGAAAGAAATGAAAATAAATGTAACAGGAAAATTTTCAAACAAAATAAAAAATACATAAAAGGAAACTCTTTTGTTGGGTAATCAACGTCGCATAAAATGGAGTATAATATCAATTTTCTTTTCACTTCGCAGAATTGTTTTTTTCTTCACTGAACGAGAAAGGCAGTTCACACTTTTATCGCACAATTTTCATGCGCTGAAAATTCTCATTCCACTTTATCTTTATCTTTTCATGACTCAAATGAAGAAAGAGTGATCGGTTGCGGTAAATTATTTCCACTGGAGAACTCAGCCCTCTGAACTTTTTCCCCTTTCAATCTAGTTTTCTTTTTCGGTTCGAGGGAAAATACCTTGGCAGCCGTTATTTATGGAGAGGGATGGGACGACAGAGTCGGAGTATTGATTGAATTATTGCGTAAAGGAAATGATGAAAATTATTTGTAATGGGAAAAAAATGGAAATTAAATTTTTGATTTATGACGAGTTCATGTCTTGGTGAATGTTGAATTACCAGAAGACATTTTTTCCAGTGAAATGAATATTCATTGCAAAATGTTTGATATAATTTCACATGAATATAAAAATTTGAAATACCAATTATCATTTAATCAAACTGATAAAGCGAATCGGTAGCAAAAAAAATCAGATGACTTTCTATCCATTTCTATTACTAAAAAAAATTAAGGGTCAGACATTTTGAACGCCGTTTGACTCTGTTGACCCCTCCGCAGATCTCTTCCATTTGACCCTTTAGAATGATTGATTCTTCTGATTAATCATTTGGTTTCATTTTGCTCATTTAGGTCGCTCCATTCTTTTCACTCATTTCGCTACATTTGATCGATTGGCTCGACTATCTTCTTTTTTTACGTATTGGTTGATCTAGCTGTCGTCAACCCCTCCTATTTTATTGATTCCCTCATTCTGCTCATTTCGCTTATCTCGCTCAGAACATGCCCGTCTCATTAAATCAAATTAATATACCCTTGAGAAAATTTAATCCTTCTGATCACTTCGTTCGTCTCTCTCACCTGACCCTCGAGACTGTTTGACCCTTACACAGCAAAATTCGGTATCGTTCCACTCTGCCCCACTTTTCCCCCGGTCAATGCCAAAATTTAACCCGTACAACAAGAAAATTTAATCAATGTCCTGCCTCACCCATGAAATAAAAAATCCCATGAAAATTAAATTCCACAAAGGTCATGAAAAAAAAACCTGATAAAATGAAACAGTGCACTCAGCGCTGATGGAGGCTCAAGTTAATATCGGTGAAGAGGGAGTGACGAGTGACTGCACTTCAATTAATCGATGGTGAAAAAAAAATTTAAGAGTTGATGAAAAAAAATATGTAGGGGGAAAATCCTGATGAGTTAATTAGCTGGAGTGCAGGGCTTGAGGCACAAAGGGCTTATGAAAACCTTTTCACACCGTTCGTTGTCACGTAATTGAAAGGAGAGAAAAAAATTCCGTCGATCAATTTCCGTCAATTCAATGTATTCTTTTTTATTTGATCAGAACCTATACTCCAATTTGTTGATATCGAACAGTGAAATGCGAAAGGTTTATTCCAGATAAATAACAGTCCCATTCTCTAGATGAAAAAAAAAAATTTTTTTTAAATCTCCAAATTTTTCAATTTCATCACAGAGACTGTCCCACGTCCATAAAAAAAGTGTAATGAGCGTGAGTGTGGAATATTCGCCTGGACTTTATCGCTTTCTTCTCACTAATTTTCATTCGCTCATCGGTTCTTCGTATATTAGTTCCATTCGATTTCTCCATTTCCTCATCAGTATTTCCTCAACTGCCATCTTGAGCCATTCGTCCACTCTCATCTCATCTCATCCCTCGTGGCCGCGTTAAGTCCAGACGCTTTTACTCATTGTGCTCCCTTCTCTCTTCTTGCTCATTTGGCTCTATTCGGCCACCTCGGCAGATTGGCCTCTTTTTTCGATTGGGTAATGGTTCATCTCTTAGCGGTTGATAATCCCCTCCTACATCTGTATTCGCTCATTCTGCTTGTTTCGCTCATCTCGCTCAATGATAATCAACCTCAGGATTCAAATTCATGGGGAAACTCCCTATCGGCACTATTTCATAAGATAATTATCTCATCATAAATATAAGCTTACGAAATTCATCAAATAATTAACATTCTCATGCGTCGCATAAAAAAACCGGACACACCATCCTTCGGAATTTTTTAATTTCATCAAAGATTGTCCCAGTAGTATTAAAAAAATGTGTGAATAACGTGAATGTAGGATATGGCGCCTGGATTTTATTGCCAAATACCAAAGGCCAGAGCTCAAAGGCATTGCATTCGTCGTCACTCAAAGGCCCGAGCATTCGTCGTTGGCAAAATAACAGCCAACCGTAACCGCTCCTTGTAATTAACCGGATTTAATCGTGTGATTAAGCTAATCAAACGACTGAAAACGATTAATTATCGTTTAATTATCGGGTAATTAGAAAATCAGCAGGACTTAGATAATTGAATTTAATTCCGCTTGCAATTATTTTAATTATTCTCGGTAACGAATTTTCAGTGTGAAATAGAAGTTGATCGTTGGAGTTTCAATGGAGAAACTCACAGTGTGATAACTTTTAGGGGTAGAATGGGTCTTTAAGTCAGTGGGGCGAATTTTAATGCGGAATTCAAGTGGTCGAGGGGACAATATCCGGGTGTATAGCGTGGATAGTAATTAAGCTACAAACGGACAAGGGGATGACACGACGCTTCTCTGATTACGGACAGAGCATTCAGGGGGAATATGAAGTCGGGGCATAATTAGTATCAGAGAAAGAACCTTTAGAGATGGCAGACTCGATCTTTTAGTCTCAACTATTGAATTTACTCGTTTGTGAATTGTGAAAAATATTTGTTAATGATTCAACGATTCTGGGAACATTTTATGTTTTTAATGAGGGAGGATGGGACAAAGGAGAACGGCAAAGAAATGAACAAAGTGATCAGAAGAATTGAAATTTGTCATGCGTATATTTATTTAATTTCATCAAATGGGCAGCTCCTGAGCGAGATGAGCAAAATGCGCGAATCAATGAAATTGGAGTGCATCAGCTGCCAAGAGATGAACTAATACTTAGAAGAGAAAATAATCAATCGATGAAATTGATCAAATGGGGCCAAATGAGCAAGGAGAATATGATGAGCTAAATCAGCAAAACTAAATGATCGAAAGAATCAAACGTTTTTGAGGGTCGAATGGGAGAAACAGGTGGAAGCGTCAAGGGGGTCAGAAGAGTATATTTATTTGAATTAATAAGATGGACATCTCCTGAGCGAAATGAGCAATGAGCGAATCAATAAAATTGGAGAGAATCAACTGCTAAGAGACCAACCAATATCTAGAAGAGAAAATTGAAGCAAATTGATCGAATGGAGCGAAATGAGCGAGGATAGTGGGATGAGTAAAATGAGCAAAACTAAGTGATCAGAAGGTCAAGAGGGCCAACCGGAGAGTCGAAGTTATTCATCACCACTCGGCTTTACCATTAGACCCTTCATCATTTGTTTTCTCGTAAAAGAGATATGACAAAAAATTGTCTGAATTTTTCTCTACATTAGTTTTTTTTCTACTGAATGACATTAAAAAATATATATCGAATTTGTTGAAGGTGAAATTATTTCGAGAATCACTCATTAACAAAAAAATTCTAGAATTAAAAAATACATTATTTTGAAAAATGAAACGACAAAATTTTATATAAAATATCTTGTTTTATTTGTGAGCCTTTTTAAAATATTGTGAACATAAAAATCAGTTCTTCATGCAGTTTCAAGTGCCCGGGCGATGAATCAGACGCAGTTCCAGTAATTCTTCCCTCGACAGCACGTGAATTTCAGTTTCGTTGGGTGTTTCTTCCGAATTTTCCATTTCTTCGTCCGTCACAAGGGAGAATTTGCCTTCTGGATTTTTTAATTGATCTTCACCACCTAAAAATAATACAGCCATCATAATCAGGAGTAGATGAGTCTAGTGAAATCTAAACATTCACAGAATGGAAAAAAATCATGAATTTTTAATTTTCATATTCTGTTAAATCTGATTTTGTTTTTTTTTTAAGAACCGGTTCTCCTTTCTAGATGAAAATCTCAAGTTCTTTTTCTAGACAAAAGTTTCCAACAAAAAATATTTTCTGACATTTTCATTTGAAACTTCTACAATTCTCGAGATAATTCAATAAATAATGATCAGTTGTAAAAAATCTAATTGTTTCACTACTTTAATAATGGAAATACTTACTAATTATCTTGAATGAATAAATTGAAGGTTCTGAATCTTTCGCGACAGTTTCTCCGACGACGTATCCCGAAACTATCGGACAGTAGTCTGAGCCCATCTTCAGAATCTGTAAAAAAAATAATAATTTCGTCAATTAATTGTTATTGAATTGTGGAGGAATAAATCAGCATGTGAATTAGAATCCACTCAAAAATGATAACATTCAGAAAAAAATCATAATTATCTCCTCCCAATTCCTTTTATTATTTCAATAAAAAAAGGTTGATGAACTAATGAAATTTATAAATTAATTTCTAACTAAATTAATTCATTGAAATTAATTTATTTATTTTTATCAAATTGTGAAGGTATGAAACTGAATTAATGAATTAAAATCCTTTCTAGACGTTTGAATCCACCAAAAAATTATAAATCATCACCGTTCAATAAATTACACTAACCCTAAATGCCACGACATCCCCCACATCAAAATCCTGATTGTAAACAGGATAATCCAGAGGATTGACACTCGAAAAATCTATTTTCTCCTCTGAATCACAATTTAAAACTCCATTTTTTTCCTTCATTGGGCTCTGATGCTTTCCACTGACCCCAGAATCTCCATTCTGGGATGAACAATCAGATGTCTTCGTCTTCTGGCCCACGAATGTCACAGGAAACTGACAATTCTTCAGACTCAACAAAGTATTCAGTTCTGGAATTATAGGAGTGCTGACTCCATTTCTTCTCGTCTCAATTTTCGTGTCTTTCTCATCTTCGTTCTCGTCCCAGTTGAATTTAAAGTGCTTGGGCTTTGTCTTTGGAGTGAAACTGGAGTTGAAGGGAATGGAGATGGGTTTGGAAGGGGGAGGGAGCTGTTGTGGGACCACTGGAAGCTCTGGAGAAATTTTAGATTTTCTTTTACGAACCCTTCGACGTTTTTTCTGGGGAATAGAGTAGAGTTCAGGGGTTTGTGATGGATTTTGGGGGGTTTTCTTAGGGTCTTGGGTGGTGTCTGTGTCGGAATCTTCTGCGAGACTTGTGTGACCCTGACCCTCTGATTCTGTAACTGGAATTATAAATTTTTCATTAGGTTTTACTTAATCAACTTCAGAGTTTGATTTTCACTCTTTGTTGGGGATCAGATTATCTTGAGAGGGATGGGTTGTAGGGGAATAAATCTTAGGACGTTTTCTGTAGGAAATTTAATTCTCGACAAAAAAGCTCTTATAACATTTTCTCATAAACCCATTCGTTCTCGAGATAATTGCAAAATTGTAAATAAAAAATGTAAGGTTTAATTTATAACGAGTTCCAACCATTGACTGATATTTTCTCATAAATTTTTTATTCAATTACCTGCGACTGATCCATTCAAACATCCATTCTTCTCACCATTTTTCACAGATTTTGAGTCACAAGCATCAGAATCTGTCACCATTAAAATTTTCTCAGGAGAATTTGCCTGTTGATTTTTCTTCTCAAGTTGTCTGGGCACTTCAATCGTTGGTAAAGGCTTTCCATTGCATTTCACTCCAATTTCTCTCCAAATTGTTAAACAATTTGGATTTACTGTGCCTAGACATACCCTAAAAACAACAATTTATATTTTAAAAAAATAAAAAAACATTCTTAACAACAAATAGAAAAAACAAAGTGTAATTCAATTTTTTATGCACATTTTACGATTTGTATTTAATAATTGATTGATTGATTCATTTATTTATTCACTGATTAATAATTTATTTACTTCTCCGTATTTTTCCCTTCATTAAATAATTAAAAATTTCATCTCGACTCATTATCTCCACTAATTTAATAATTAATCACTTCATTTATTCACCTATTTGTTCATTCACTTCTCCCCATCTTCCTCTTCATTAAATAATTAGATTAAGTGATTAATAAATGGATAATTTCAATCCTCATCTCGCGGAGAAAAAAAGTTCTCACAAACTCGAAAAAAAAATGTTGAGAATAAAAACAATAGCACAACTGCCTCTCAAACTCACCTGATAGTCTCCTCCCCCTGAATAATCCTGACATCCTCATTCATCGGCAAATAAACCCCTTCGCACGAGGTGAGATAAAAAGGCCGGGTGATTCCGAAAACCTGCTTGATCCTCTCATGGAGGTGTAGAATATGCGAAATGTTCTTCTCGTTCACGTAAACATAGCTCAGCTTCCTTACGTCTTCGTAGAACTGCGAGAGATTGACTTTCACTCGATAATTTGACGGATTCCCCATGATTTTCCCTTGATTTATCGAATTTTGTTTACACCGAGAATTTTCATCTGATTGTTTCAAAATTTTTTGGTTACGTTCTGCGCGCGACTGTTCGATATATCATAGATTTGATTATGGCAAATATCGATAGTTCATGATTCAATAACACCCCAGAAAAAATCGAGACATTTATCGACTTTTTCGGGGTCGATATTTATTTATTTTTTCTGTGTCGATCTATTGGAGGATCGATATTTTATTGAATTTGATTTTTTGAGGGTCAAACAGTTTTGAGGATCAACCGGGAGAGACGAACGAAGTGACCACTCCAGTTGTCTCTCCCTATAGACCCTTAAGACCGTTTAACCGTTCTGATTTTCCTCCACATTCATTTTTCAAGACCCTTTGTCCCACAACCCCTTTAACGGAAATTTCTGATTGGAAGAGATAGGTGGAGAGGTTAAGGGTCAACCGGGAGGGTCAAGAGTCAACCTCGTCCCTCCCATTATTAGTATGCCCTTAAAAAAATTTGATACCCTTAAAAAAATTGACCTTGCACCTGTCTCACGACCGAGATATTTATATCGATACTTCCACGCGCGATACATCGCTTCTTCAAATCCTTCGAAATTCTAAGTTGTCAAGGGGATTCCCCCGAATTCCGGTAGATGTCAGTGGCTGATGCCGCGTTTTATCCATCGAGGGGGTATTTTTTTTCCCCCCGGGCACCAGCTGATAGGACCTGACAGTTGACGTAAAATCCAACACAAGTAAATCAACAAAAATCGTTAATCACCAGTCGTTCATTTTCGAATCAATGACCGATTAACTGGTCTGGATATAGTTGAGAGTCAAGTTGTAGTGAAGTGTGCTGAGGATTTTTCCAGGTGAGAATTGATTTTTTCGTCGTTAAAATACTTGAGAACTATACATGATTCGCAGGCAATGTTGTATTCCAGTCGCATAATCAATAACATTTTTGTTGATATGATTGTGTTGATTCATTTGTCTCGCATCGGCGACGCATGGGGACAACAATATTTTTTTGTGGGGTTAATTTTATGGATTTTAGAACGTCTCATTCGGCTGTTATAAAGGATGTGTATTTTTTTAAAGATGATTTCTAAGAATTTCTGCGTGCGACGGAATTTAATTGCTAGAGTAATTACGGGTGATTATGAAATGAAGGATGTTTGTTTTTAGATTCTAATTACTGAGTAGTTGATATTTTTATGAGAATATGGGGAATTTTGTGAGGAAGTTGTAAAATTAGGAATGTTGATTTTCAGATATAAAATATGGAATTATCTCGGTAATGAGTGCTTCTAGGTGAAAATTACATACGACATTTTTCGTTAGAAATTGAATTCTCCAGAAAAATTTTCTTTTCACATTTTCTTCTCAATCCACTCGTTATCGAGATAAATTGATAATGGAGAAAATTTTAAATTTTTCCGAGTCGAAAATTCACTAAAAGTCCTCTTTAAATCTTCCATATCTCTTGATCAAACGATCAAATTTGAATGAGTCACAACTTATTTTAAAGCCTAAAAAAATACATTCAAAATAAAAACAAATCTGCAAATTTCACAATCTCGAGTTATGGACGATCAAAGATCGGTCTCAATTCCCTACAAACACTTGCAATTCTCTTTCAACTCCACTCATTGTTACCATGAATTCACAACGATAAACAAAAGTGTGATAACAGCTAAAAAAATTGGGTGGACTACACTCCTCAGTGAAAACAACCCCATTAATTACCCGAATTTGTTATTCTCGCATGTCTCCCGTCCACCCACTTCTCGAAGATTGCAATCAACTAGACCCCCGGAATATTCCAATTTCCGAGAAACCGAAATATATGGAACGAATAAATAACCATGCGCCCCCTATTTGTTTGCAGCGTCCCATCGAACCCCTCGAAAAAAGAAAAAAAAATGCCGAGCACATATTTATACGCGATAAACAGCGAGGGCCGGGTATTGGCGCTCTCGAGCTCCGGTAGCATGTGGCGGGAATTTATGTACCTGGGTCTCGAATTTAAACGTCTCTCGGCGGTGCCCCACTTCATGTGGGCTATCGGAGGCGATCGACAGGTGTACGTTCACGTGCATGGTCTTGACATACCGATTCGCATAAAAGAGGAGACTTACGAGAATGAACGGTGGCTTCCGCTGGAGGGCTTCAGCGGAAGGCTATTACCTACGGACAGATATAACTTCTCGAATATCGATGGAACGGTCGATAGATCTAGGGACAAGGTAAAATTGCCGTCAATGGCTTGGCAGTGGGAGGGAGACTGGCATATCGAGACTACTCTTGATGGACAACCGTTGGACCATGACGTGAGTACCAGTCTGCTCTAAAATTCATTTCTTATATGTCTCTCTTACGTTTATAAAGCGAATGCCATAATCGAGTCGATTCACTAGTGACGCTACTGCGCAGACTTCTGCGCATACCCAGTCGGTATATAAATACCAATGGACCAGTTCCACTTTTCGATTTTTCAAAAGATTTTCTATTTCTCCTTGAACAAGTCGGACTCCCCTTTTTTAAAAACCTCTTCTGAAGTACTGCCATAACTTGAGAAAATCAACTCTGTATTCTAAACTTCTCTTATTCTGTGTCTCCCTCACGTTTATAAAGCGAACGCCATGATCGCTTCGATTCACTCGGAACCCTACTGCGCAGGCTGCTGCGTAACTTGTTGCATACGGTCGAACTGAGGAGATCGTGTCGTGCACACCCCTACGTTAATTAATAAATTTCTGTACGAAGAGGTTTTTTCATTGATTGACGCTTCTATAACGAATGCCAAAACTATAATGTCGTTAGACGTCGAAAGACGAGCGTTTTTGCAAAACTGAAATGGAAAGTACAGCCTAACCTCATTTCAGGGTTGGACATACGCCGTAGACTTTCCAGCCACGTACTCCACCAAAAAGCAATGGAAGTCCTGCGTGCGTCGTCGCAAATGGGTCCGTTACCGACGATACTCAGCCCTGAACTCATGGTGCGCGATAGCTCCCCTCCATAAAGACCCTACGAAAGAGCCATTTATCGACGTAGCGATAGGTGGCACTCAGATCCCCGGTGGGAATCCCACAAATTTATCCGTGTGGGCGGTAACAGCTCACGGGCGCCTCATGTACCGCGTGGGGGTATCGTCAACCTCCCCCGAGGGCCAGCGCTGGTCCGCCATAAAGCTTCCGAGCGGCCAAGAAGTATCTCAAGTTGGCGTCGGTACTTCCGGTCTAGTCTGGTGCGTCCTGACTGACGGCAAAGCCCTCGTTCGCACTGGGATCACCCGGGAGAATCCGATGGGCGACGACTGGAGGACTGTAGACCCTCCGGATAACCTAAAACTGTCCCAAGTCAGCATCGGAACAGACGCCCTCTGGGCGGTATCCCAAGACGGCTCCGTCTGGTTTCGGAAAGGGATCAAGGGAGAGATGAGTGGTATCTGCGAACAGTTGGCCACAGGGACCGGATGGGTTGAGATGCCAACCAAGATGGCAATGGTTTCCGTAGCTCCGAACGATCAAGTCTGGGCGATTGGTCTCGAAGATCGGTGTCTCTACTACAGGACCCAAATATCCAACTCAGAACTCACGGGCAAAAAGTGGAGACCCATCACGGCACCACTTCAACTGTCCAGGGCGAGCTCCAATGCGAGTCTGTCATCATCAAACCGTCACAGCATGTGCGGAACCCCGCAACAACAGCGGCACCAGAGCTGGAGTTCACTTAATCGTCCCCAGAGCACTGGAGACACTACTGCCCTGATCAGAGACTGGGAGGAGCAGTCGAGATCAGCGCCAACCGCGACCTCCCTGAAGTCGTGGGAGAAAACGGACAGGCCACAGGCCTTCCAGGAGATGTTTCCAGGGGACGATAAGACCAAATCATCAATTTCGATTGAGTCGAACGATCTCACTGACTCCTCCGGCAACATCACGATCTCAAATGAATCGTTATCGCATTCTGGGGAGAGCACGATCGTCTCTGGGAAGGGCATGGGGAGCACTGTGAAGGTCAATCCGGCTGCATGGTCCCCGGTCCACTCGGTCGGATCGATGGTCGGAGTCGAGGCGCATCCAGAAACCGATGGAAGCGTTTTCGATCCTGATTTGACTGGTGAATCTGGTATTTTTGGGGAGGATGACAGCACCGCTGCCATGTACTGGGCGGAATGCGAGGTTCTTTGGTGCAAGGTCGAAGCAGGCGCTTGTTTCGTTGATCCTAGCAACCCTCCGAAGTGGATCAGCGATGGACAACACTCGAATTCCAGTGAAATTTCCGAAAGCTGGAGGATCCGAATCCTTGAAGAATTGAAGACCAGGCAAAGAAATATAGAATCGTTGGTTTGTGACTTGTCGACGTATGAGAAGGCGATCGAGCGGTCGTCATGGGTGAAGAATGGGGACGCCAGGTGCCGGTTGAAGGGCAACAGCAACTTCGAGGACTGTGTCATCGAGCTGGAATGGATTAGCAGCGACACAGGAGCCTTGGACTCTGGTACCTTGACCATTCTCAATTCTGATGGTGCCACGACTGTTCTCCAGTTTCCCGTGTCAGAGATTGTCGCTGTCATCAGCTGTTCTGAACCTGGGGCACCAAGGCTTGCTATCCACACACCCAAACTCCCGAAGTCGAAGGTTCTGAGGCTGCAGTTCTCCAGTGATACAGAAATGGAGGACTGGTTAGGACATTTGACGTCCGTCACCTGCAAGATGAATAACGTATACTCGAGACCCGGTCCAAGATCGATCTGGACGACAACCGCTTTAGGAGACGTTTACGTTTATGATCCTGTAATAGCTGAAGGCAATCAGGTGCACGAGGGAACTTACACACAAGAGTTGGAAGTATCAGGGAAGGTCTCGTACCTTCCGTACGAGACAATCTTGCATAACGGTTTCGGCCCGGGGAGTTCGCTTCTCATATCTGTCTGCTGCCATGATGACGCCGATCGTCTTGCTTTCAACTTCGTCTCACACATGGGTCTAGGGAAAAAGGCTACAGAGTCCCATGACATAGCCTTCCATTTCAACCCTCGGTTGAACGAGAATATCATCGTCAGGAATACTTACGAGAACGGACAATGGGGTGACGAGGAGAGGTCAGGAGGATCTCCCCTGAAGCCCGGGTCAGACTTCTCCTTGAAGATTGTCTGCGAGGAGAGGAAGTTCAGGATCTTTATCAACGACAAGGAGTTCACGTCTTACTGCCACAGAATACCTCCAGGGGGGATAACCCATCTCAGGATAAAGGGCCTGATGACTCTTCACAAAATCCTGTATTCTTCGAAGCAAGTCATCATCGAACCCGTGACCATGTTCTGGAGACTGATGGGTGGGCACTTGCGCAAGGTGGAGACCTGTTCTTCCGGGATAACCTGGGGCCTAGGATACGATCACACCGCATGGGTGTACACGGGTGGTTGGGGCGGATCCTCCCTGAAGGAGCTAGGTTCCAACGGAGACGTCAACCCCATGATGGACGTCCAGAACTACTTCGTCTACGAGAACCAGAGATGGAACCCGGTGACCGGATACACCTCCCACGGGCTTCCAACGGACAGATACATGTGGAGTGATGTGACAGGCAGGCACAAGCGAACTCGGGAGCACACGAAATTGATGTCAAGCCGTTGGAGATGGATTTCCGATTGGATCGTCGACTTCCATACCCCCGGCGGCGTCGACAGGGACGGCTGGCAGTATGCCACGGACTTCCCCAGTGTCTACCACGAGAAAAAGAACTTCACGGATTACGTGAGACGTAGGAGATGGTTCCGGCGGTGTCAGCTGACGACTTCGGGGCCTTGGAAGGAAGTCGGGAACACGAAGATCGTGGACATTAGTCTCTTCAACAAGGGCGAGGATGAGGGGGTGGAGGTGTGGGCAGTCGCTGCCAACGGCGAAGCTCTCTACAGACGAGGGGTCACTGAGACGTGCCCCATGGGCGTCTCCTGGGAGCACATACCTTCCGATCAAGCGCTGATTGGAATATCCGCCGGGCCGATGGGGCAAATTTGGGCAGTGGGAAAAAACGGGAGCTCCTACTGGAGATTCGGCATTTCGGAGACGAAACCCACGGGAGAGGTGTGGACCAATGTGGAACCGCCTCCTGGCGCTCAGTTGAAACAGATTTCGGTGGGGGGCGGGGGCATTTGGGCGCTGGATACCAGTGGAAGGCTCGCTGTGAGGAAGGAAATACAGCCGAAGGTCTTCCCGGAGGGGACGCACTGGCAGGTGCTGCCGGCTATGCCGAATGACCCCATTCATATTGATCAGGGAGTGGTCAATGCCAAGCAAGGGTTCAGAATGGTTGCGGTTTCCAAGGTGGAGAAGCAGGTCTGGGCTGTGTCGGGAGCGGGGATTCTTTGTCGGAGGATTGGAGTTACTGAAGAGAATCCAGCGGGGACAGGATGGACTACTGGGATTGGGGTGAGTCATGAATATTTATCCTGTTTTTGTAGTTTACAGGGGAGACTCCATTGTTTTCCGCTTCGATAATTTGTCCCATACTCTCCTCCAGGCGTATTGGTATCGCAAAATGAATGAGATACATCTTGAGGCATCTTGAGATACTAAAGTTGCCAGATGAACCAAGAAGGCAGAGAAAAGTTGTGAAATTATTTTTAAGCCTTGTCTTATTTGGTCTGTTCTTTGGACAATCCTATTCTTCAATTTTCAGGCAAATTGGCAACACATCACTATTGGTGGACTCTAATCACAGCCCTTAAAGCCAAATATCGTAAACAGATAAAATAAAACACCACAGTATTTTCTCAATCTTAAGATAACTATGAAAAGCTTAAAGTTCAAAGCATCAACGACGTGGCCTGAACCTTAGAATCACTAGTCACTAACTAATCGTTGTATTTTCGAAAGACTAAGTATTTTGTCCATTTTCAATGGACGATCAACATAAGCTGTTACTAAACTATTAGAAGAACTAACTAGTCTTGCTCTTTTATTTTATATTTCTTTTTGTGATATTGAAGACATTCCCGAGGTAAGCTATGATCACGTGATTTTTTAATTCCTAAATACTATTATTTTTGTACAATCGCCATGAGAATGACATTAATGGGAGATAAGGGAGATACAAAATAATTATTACAGTCATTTATACTACGTATGTACAGTGAGAGTCGGAATACTGAATAAATTACGCTCAAATGTAAAATGTTTGTGAATAAAATATTTACAAAAGACATCGCTACTCATTGCGTGTTTTAGAATTCAAAGGCAGAGGGTTGGAAAACTTGGAAAATAAATCTCTTTGGCATCGAAAAATTTCGATTCTCAATCCCTCATTTGGACCCTCTCTTGGTCTCTTCACCAAGTAAATGCATGTTCATTCTCCTAAACGGAGTAACGGCGATTTTTGTCAATACTTCGTATAATTTCAAAAGTAGTTGATCGACTTAGAATTTCGTGGTTATTCTCACGGGCTCCGTGTACTGGTGAGCCCTCTTGTTCGTTATTCCTTGCACGCTGTGTCGGATTCCGTACAGGAAATAGATGGCGAATCCTGCAAAGATGGCACAATTTGTTAGAAGACTCGAAGAATCGGTCGAGAATTTGGGCATTTGAGATTGGAAAGCAAATGCTTACCTACGGCCATCCAGATGACAAACCTCACCCATGTGAAGGCATCCAACTGAAGCATCAACAATAAATTGATCATGATACTGACGCAGGGGATGAGAGGAACCAACGGTACCTGAAGAAAAGCCAATTCGTCAAAGATCAAGACTAGTTACGATTCATTCGTCTTCTGGAAGAGACAACTTACTTTGAATGCCAGATCTAAATTTTCGACGGGCTGCCTCCCAATCGCGATCATAGACAACAAGATCATGATTCCAATGACTCCCAAAGCTACGATTCCGATGACGTGGAGTCCAGTTCCGCTGAAATTCACGTGATTTAGAAGCAAACCAAAGAAGAAGGCAAGACAGGAGAACACGAGGACCGCCCACCCTGCGACTCTACTTGAGAAGTCTGTCGCGACTTTCTGATTGCAGAGGTTGAAGATGCGTTTGAAGTAGTCGAAGAGGGTTGGATCGTCCTCTAGCATGTCATTCGGCGACAGCTTGAGACTTGTATTTGTGTTCTGGTACCTCAGGATGAGGACACAAATCGCGACGATTGTGTAGGCCAGGAGTGTTCCTATGGACATCATGTCGATTAGCTGCTCGAGACCAAAGATTAGGGTCATGATACCTGGAAAGAACGATTCTTTTCACTGAACGAGCTGAATGGATGTGTGACGAGTATGGTTTTATAAGTGTCTTGAAATATTCTTTTAGGTGAGATGAGGATTGCGCGTTTTGGCAGAGAAAGCTAAAGAAGCGATTTGATAGGGATTCGATTGCGGAAAGGAAGTCGTTTGATTGTATGGAGACATTGCCAATGATAAAACGACAATGAAGAACCATCGGAACACTTATCTAAGCATTTCGAGGGCTTCCGCATAGAAAAAAGTGTAAGGCAAAACTTATAAGTGACATGTAGTGATTTTGCCGGAATTATATCTTGAATATATCCGCATTGTGTACCGCATTGTGTACTCAAATATTGCATTTTTGCCAGAAAGTATACCACATATAAGCGGATATAAGTGACATATATTTCTGCATATATATTTTTTCCATGTGGGCTGAAGGCTAGACCAGACTGAACTAGGCTAGATTTGCCTAGACAGGCAAACGTCATGCCCGCGTCAGACAGGAACGTTCGTCTCCCAGCTTATAAGCAATTCAAAATCCTCACCCGTCAGAAGTCCCGATGTAACAGTCCCCAGCACCGGCGTCTGTGTCTTCTCACTGACCTTCGCCAAGAACTTGAAGATGATTCCATCGCTTCCCATGGCGTATAAAACCCTCGGCAACGGAAACATTGCCCCCAGAAGACTAGTGCACAATGCGAAGACAGCTCCGACGTTAACAATCCACTTGATCACTGGCCAGCCGATTTGTCCGAAGACGTATGGAAACGGTGCCTCCGGGCTCTGATCGTAATAAGGCCACATCATGGTCAGTACCGTGGAAATTGAGAAGTAAGCTGCGAAGGAGATGGCGAGGGACAGAACAATCGCCATGGGAATGGTCTTCTGAGGATTCTTGGCTTCTTCTCCGGTAGCTGCTACTGCGTCGAAGCCGACGAAACCGTAGAAGCACTTGGCTGCTCCCACCATCACTCCGGAGATTCCGAAAGGCATGAAGCCACCAGTTCCGACGTTCTTGTATTTCTCGGGGATGTTCTCAGGGGAGATGCTCCAGTTGGCGGGATCAGCTGTTGAAGAGAATGGAAGAATCATCAGGTGCTGTTCGAAAAGAATAATTATGAATCAGTTACCTTTGAAAGATCCTGCCACGATAATAATCAAGATCGTTATCAGATTCACAGCTGTGAATACTATGTTCAGGTATGACGACTCACGTACTCCGATGCAGAGTAGTAAGACTAGTAGTATAACAACGATGAAGGCAAAAAAGTCAGGATACGTGGATAAAAAAGAAACGTTAATGGGCATAATTGAGTGGAGGTAGTTTCGCATGACGTTCCCGATGAGAGAGTCTACGTAATTGCTGAGGCCACGGGCAACACTCGCGGTACCTGGTGTCAATAACAAGAATAAAGAAGAGCTGCGTTAATAGCCCTCGGAATTAGAAAACAAAGGATGGAAAAATCGAAGAAATACCTGAATGTGGTAGAGGGGATGAATAATTTTAAGTGTTCAAAAATACGGAGTGATGGAGTTGTGGGCGCCGTCATTTTGTGGAAAAAGCAGGAAATCAAAATGGCGGCTCGCTCTGAACATGATGGCGGCCTCACTTCGTATTTTCAAACATCTTTTATAATTATTTATCGTCTTCAGATATCCCTCAACTCATTTCTGCCGGCTTTCATAAAGTGAACGAATTATTTAAGCTATTTTTCCGATTTTTCCACCCTTTTTAGAAGGAAATTGTTAGAATAAAAATTACCAATTACGTATTCTAGGATGAGATTCCATCCAATAACAAAAGCGATAAACTCCCCGACAGTGACATAACTGTACACGTAAGCAGAACCTGCCTTAGGTACTCTGGACGCAAATTCAGCATAACACATGCCTGGAATAATTTCAAAGTGATGGGAGATACTCATGGGGGGAATTTGTTAGATTGGGGGTAGATTACCAGCTAGGGCTGATGCGAATGCAGCGATGAAGAAGGAGATGCAGACGGCCGGGCCTGCCGTCTCCTTGGCAACACTGCCGGCTAGGACATAAATACCTAGACCGAGAGTGCCTCCAACTCCTAAAGCTGTAAGATCTAGAAGGCCGAGGACCCTTGCTAATTCTCCTTTTCCTTCGGGACTGTCGTCCACTCGTTTTCTGCTGAATGCTTCCCATAATTTTGACGCCATTTTTTTGGAAGCGGTAACATCTGTTTACAGGTAAGTTTGCGTGATTAATTCTCGGAGGAATTTTTTTCTCGTGGTAATTCTAATTCTCTTTGAATTTATGCCTAATGGAGTGGGCGGTGTTGTGATGTGAATTTCGAGAGGGAGAAATTCCGTAGTTCCCGGTAGCTTAGTTGGAAAAAAGTACCGGACCCGACACTTGGAGGAGTCGGGTTCGATTCCTGGCCAGGGCTTGGCGATTTTTAATTTCGATAATTTTTTTTCAATTCCAGGAAACTAGTCTCTACAGTAGGCTCTAGAGTCTGGGGTTTAGAGGCCCCTCTTGATTCTAGAGTTTAGAGATGACTCTAGTTTCTAGAGCTATTCTAGATAAACTTCAGTATGAAATAACTGACATTTGTAATAATCCTCCTTACATTGTCATTAAATGTTTTATGATAAATTTCTACTGTTGGTACTACAATTTATCCAGAAAAATGTACCAGTGATGTGAGAGATAGAATCTCTCACATCCCAATGCTCCCGGCGTTAAACAATGGAGGATGCAGCGTGATTCTTATCACAATGTACTACGATAAAAGGTGATATTGAAGTTTGAAATGCATCACGGGATTCAGGTGACGAGATAAAATTTTTCAAGGCTTTCGTTTCGAGAAATGCATTTGCAAACAGGAAAAAAAGAGTTTTTTATCTTCAAGATTTACGAATCATTTTTCTCTTGCAATTTTTTGTTTTATTACAATTATTAATTACAGAAATTTTATGCAAGATTCGCTGGACTTGCCTAGCACAATTCATGGTCAAATCACCGCAAATTTCGAAACATGAGTGTTTGGAAGGCCTGTAGCGAGGTCATTGCGATTTCCATGACGAGAATATTTACAATGAATACTTAATGACGAAGAGACTTTCGCAAACCTGAAGAAATAATTTTTCTTGCCACTACAAAATCACAGTCTATTTGAAAATTTTCCTCAAGTTATTAAAAGATTAATAAATTCTCGATCTATCGTTTTTTTTATGATGTGCGGAATCAAATGGGAAAATCCAGTAAGGAAACATGTCTTTCTGAAAATTCCCGCGAAGGAATCAATTACGCATAGATGGCAAAAATTAGAATAGGGAAACGTGCGAAAGAATTGTTGGAGATGGACGAAATCATTATTATGAATACGTCGTTGCAGCCAAGGACATGCAAACGACACGAGCACTTCATCCTTGAGGAAAGAACAGTGTCGAGTTGAATGAAGGATGTGACAGGATGCAATGAAATGGAAAATATATTTGTGCTTTGATTCTACGAGGGGACATTTGTCATGCAGTTTGGGAATTAACATTTTTATTTTGCATTTGGAAGCCTTGGAGATCCTTCGAGAACTCTGATTGAGATCCGTGATGTTTGACTGATGTTATGACATCTATAGGATTTTGGGATTTTGGGACTTCAGGATTTTGGGATTTTGTTAATGGATTATGAAAGCAATATGTCGCGTCAAAATATTTAGTATTTCTATTTTTCTTGGCAAGGGAACATTCATCAAATCAATGAATTTAACATATTTCGTCCAAAAATGGGAAATGAAAAAACATCCACCGAACCATTATCTTCATCTGTTTAAGAACCTATTCCGTCGTAGAGACTGGCCCACTTTAATCAGACCCACGTCACAACGATAATTATTTTTAAAAGAGTGCAACTGATACCGGAAAACTTCGCAGAAGACAAAGAAAACATTAAAAATAAATTAGCTTCTCGTCTCGTCACCTCAATAGCAATCAATTTTTCCCTCCTTTGTCTACGCAATCTTCCAAGAAATGTATCAAAAATTTTAGAGGAAACAATGAATTACATGAATCATTGGAAATATGATGAATGGGACAACGAAACAATTCAGTGAAGCACTATTTCTCCTCAGGTGATCACTCAGACATGACGAAATTCGACGTTTAGATACTTTTTTTAGTCGTTTATTGTGGAGCGAGGACATCAGGATCTCATGTAAATTGAGACATTAAATATCATTCATCAGTGGACAACGCATGCATATGAACATGTTTACACGCGATTTACAAAAAAATAATTGCTATTTTTTTAAATGATTTAATCGCCTCGGGAGACAAAAAGTCTGGAGAAAAATGTCCAGTTGTTGCCGGTCGACTGACTCCTGCATTAATTATTTTCATATTCACGAGTGTTGAGTGCCATATGTGCAATTAAACCGGGGAATTTATTCTTACTGTCACGTGATGATCAGATATCTACATATGCTAAAATAGAAGAATAATTATCGTAGAATAAGTGATGACCTTATGACGAATTTATCAGAGAGAAGGTCAATCGGGAAATTTAAAGGAAAAGGGGGAGGTAGAGACAAATTTAGATAGTTTTTTTTCCGTCTCTATTACTTAAAAAATTATAGGGTCAAAGAATCTTGAAGGTTAACGGGGAGAGACGAGGGGCGTGATCACTCCCATCGTCTCTCCCGTTTGACTCTCTTGATCCTCTGCCTGTCCCTCCCATTTGACCCTTAAACACCGGAATAGACTTGAATGAAAGTTCGATTCTCTAAGGATACTATGGAAATTCCGGCGGGTTGATGCATTATTAACTCTCCGATAACAAAAGATTCGATTTTTATCGATAAAAAACGGGGGATGGGTTTCGACTGTCCACCGCAGAAGGAAAAACATGATTAAAGACCAGATGAGATGATGATGATATGCTTCATTGTTTTATCGTCGAAAACAACTTTAAAGTTCATTTTTAATTGCTTTTTATCATAAATTCTGATAAAAGAATGTGAAAAACACAATTATTCTCTGATCATTAAAGAGTTGGGAGACTTGACAGAATTATCTCCTTCATCTCTCAATTACTTGAAGAACGTTCAATTGAGAGAGGATTAATCCTCTTATTTTCGATTAGTCTAGACAGGAGAGAACGGGAATCAGCGAAGATTAAAAATCTGTTATCGGGATTGTACTCTAATGTCGAGACTGATTTAACCATTCTTATTTACTTTCACAACTGGCTCGTTGGGTGGATTAATTATTCATACACCTGATAAAGACAGAAAATGAATTGTTTCACAATTTGTTGAGACATGCAGCTTGAAATAAGCAATCTAAATGGATTCATCGGATCACGATAACAGTTGCAACTTGATTTTGCGCTAAATATCTCCGAATCTCCGGGAGATATCGAAATTTTCATGAGAACTTTTTCTGTCGATTAAAAGTCGTGGGTTATTGGAGTGATACTTTTCACATGTTGAAGATCGATTATATAGATCTGAAAATGAATAATTAGTACAAGAAAAAATTTTTTTTGTTCGTTTGCCAGAAAACGCTTAGATGCCAAAAACAGTCCAGGGCCTCCAATTTTTGAGCTACGAATTATTTTTTTTTTTTCAAAATTTTCGCAACAATATGTGGAATAACAATTACGAGCTAGTTTTTTTTTAATTCACCTCTTACATGGCTAAATTTGCTTTTTTGTATTTTTTTACACAAATAGTGAATTTTTTTGTATGAAAAAAACCGAAATCAGCTGTGTAGAAGTCGAATTTAAAAAAATGGCTCGTAATTGTTGACTGTTTTTAGCATTTTAAGCGTTTTCGGGCAAACGAACAATAAAAAATTTTTTTTTTTGCACTAATTACTTGTTTTCAGATCTACATAATCGATCTTGAACGTATGAAAAGTGTCACTCCAATAACCCACGACTTTTAAAACTGACAGTAGTGTCCCCTTAAACCGTTTGAAAGTTCTTGAAGTGAAAAATTGCATTTTCTGTTTAAAAATTGCGAGAAAAATCAATTGAATGTTTTTCCTTCTACTCACCAAAAATCGACGAATATTGAGGGCTCAATTCCACTTTCTCCTCATATACTCCAAAATTTAACTGAAAAAAAAATTGATGAGCAAAATTTATTTATCAAGTAACACCGACGCAACTTTAAGAACCGCCAACAGTCACTTGCAATCGCTGGCTGTCGACTAAAAAGATACGTAACACGGGCTCACAGGCATCACCAATGTCAACGGGACAATTACCCACCTCCCACCCATTCCCCAGTATTTCTGTGATTTATGAAATTTATGCTATCTGTTCATTTCACTGAGTCTCCTTCTAGTTCCCCCACGACACCTGAGGAATTTTCATTCATCATCTTCATCTGAATGATTACAGGATCATCCTCGTTAATTACGAGAAAATGATTAAAATTATTGATGATTTATTCTGTCACGGGAATTTAAGATTACTCCTTCGCCTTTAGTCCATTGAAAAATAAAACTATTGTTGCTGAATTGGGTGAATTGAATTGTGAATGTATTGAATAAAAATTCATCATCAATTTATTGCAATGACGAGACAAGTTGCATTATTCAAAAGTATTATCGTGTTAATTACAATTGAAGTGGTTTTATTGGTCAATTAAATACAGTCACGTCTCCCATGAATTATTTATTTCATCAGGGAAATTGTGGATGTCACGTGCTTCGTGGATCCTTGAAAAACGGTTTTCTCACTGGTAGAGGACAATGTACGAGTCACTCCTTTCGCAATTTCAATCTATCAATTCAAATTGGATATCGAGAAAATAAATGAAGAAGGTGTGAAGGACGTGGACTTTCTCATGCGCTGAGAGAAAAACAAATACGTTATCAAACAAGTCTTGTATGGGCCAACAAAATCGCTAGTTGAAAATTGCCAAAAAAGAATTTGTTTGTCACTAAACGAATTGTCATGAAAGGGAAAAAACAGTCAACAGTCCTCTCCCATTTTCATTGTATATGGTAAAAAAATTATTTATTCACTAATTTATCCTTAACACACACAATTATCCTCAATTATCTCCAATTATTTCCTAATTATTTTTTAAATGATTCTGGATTGGTGGCGCATCCAGGGCACGTATGCAACGACTCGTGAATAAAAATTTCACAGTCAAGGCAGAACGTCTGGCTGCACTTATCACACGTGTAAACCTAGAACAAATAATCCAAAAATATCCTCAAAACAAAGAATAAAGGAGAAACGCGTCATTTGCATTTACAAATACTCTTATTCACTGGAATTGTACCTTCTTATCAGCCTCTGAAAAACGTCTCTGGCACCCATAGCAGTGGTTTGAGGTTTCCTGGATCGGAATTTCCTTGAAGGACTCAACGGGGAATAGGTAATGATAAGATCTCGCCAGATGCGGTGCGGAGACGAGAGTGAGTCCACAGGATTTACATTCAACTGGCAATTCGCAGTGTTTTGATAAACATTGGGGACACAAGTAGCCGGCAGACGTCAACTTGGCTGATTCGTCTGTACTTTCAGCATGACTGGGCAGAGAATTCAATGGAAACATTATTAATAATGAGTTGATGGTGGCAATGTCGATGAAAATAATATCTGCATACTATATACACTATACTATATTATATATAATATATTATAATATATTACATGATAGTATAGTGATAAAGAAAGAACACGTTAGGTGGAATAGATTGGCTTCAAAAAACGTTGCATTGGATTTTTTATTGAAGAGATCGGAATTTGATTCATAATAAATTAATATTGATCATGTCCATGATGGAAATAATATCAGCATAAAAAACTCCGAGAAATGTTGAGTGAGATATTTACCACATGCATACGCTCATGGCGGTGTCAGCTGGTGTGCTGTGAAGGGCGTGGTGAGGGAATCCCATCTTCACGAGGGCTGCCTCCAGCCTCATTGCAGCTGGGGGTGGGTCCACGTGGGCTTTCAGTTGCTCCAGGAAGTGCTTGTCGTCCAGGACTACTCCATGCTCACCACCGGTGCTAGTGGCCATTTTCCTGCAGACGTGGAGCTCCGCTGCTAGACCTATAACACTGCATCTCACTCCTTCGGTTTTCAAAGTCTGAGATAAAATTAGGAATTCGACACGTTAATTACCAATTCATTAATTTTAAGGTTTAAACAATTTCGGGGAGTTCATTATATTTTACATTAGGTATTTATGAATTAACATTGTTGTGAACCATTCCCTGGTAATAATAAAGATTGATAGGGTACCTGAATTGTCTCAGTAATGTCTCCAGGGTCGCAAGTTGTCAAGGACCCCATTATCACGAGGATTTCTCTGCTGGCGTGTGAAGGAAGGTTTTTTAGAGACTTCAGGGCCAACTCCAAGGAGTTCTGGAGAGAGGGCTCACCGGTAATGGAGGTGGACTGACTAAGACTCTGAATTTCCTGGAGAAAACGTGAAACAAAATGCAAAAATAATGATTTTTAAAGGAGAATAAAACGTTCTTCAAAATGAAAAAACACATACATTTAAGCTTGAAACAGTTAAAATATTTATTAATCTTGTTAATTAATACATCAACAAACTTAACCAATTAGCAATGCTTAAAGAATTTACTCTGCTACAAAATTGAAATTTTCACAAAAAAAAAATTCTCCCAAAGAACCAAATTTTCTTTTTTTTCGTTTCAAACTTTATTAATTATTCAACACTCCACTCACCTTCACATGTTTCTTCGAGTTTCCCGACAATTCACACAACTTCTCAGCCCTCTTATTCCTCGTGACAATGACCCCCAGTTGACTAATTGGATTTTGGTAGAAGAATTCATCAATGAAACACTCCAAGAGCTAAAAACAAAAAATGAAACCAAAAGACCAATTTTCAATCTGCAATTACTCAAGAACGGCAGAGTGAAATTTTCCTCTTTTTCTCTTATTTCCAAGATTTTTTTTCAAGCTTTAAAATAAGACATGGCTCGTCAAAATCGGTTCGTTGGGTCACGAGATATCGCTGATCAAAGAAAGTTCATTTCCTAGCACCTCTTAATTCGCCTTCATTACTTCATTTCTCCTTTCTAATAATTTTTTGTTTCCGAATGGAAGCGTTGTAATCGTTCAGATTCAAGTTTTGGTTTTTTTGTATTATATCGACCCATTATGATCCAAAAAGTGCGAAAATACAATTTTTAGTGTGTGGACAAGTCCCCACTCACCTTGATTGAGCACAGAAGCCTCGTAGGTTTCAGGTCCTGCATCCCCATGGCCTCCGAGGCGTCCAAAATAAGGAATAAATGCCTTATCATGCCCAGTCTGCTGCCTGCAGTCTTCTCCAGCTGTTTCTTTCTCTTGGCCTTGTGGATGATGTCGGCCACCGAGGCGTCCAAACCCCCATGGTCGTCCTCCTTGATCGCTTCCCTTCAACATAACCCCAAAACCCAAAACGAATCCTTGAAAAATCGAAAATTCCCTTTAAATTTCAATTGTCGTAATTTATCCTTTAAAAAGTAAATTCCTCACCATGTCTTCTCGTAACCTGTCTCCCAGCGGTACTCCTTGGGTCCCTCCTCGTCCCCCATGATCGATTATCGCTGAGGAACAAGTGATCGAACGCTGGAATGCACTGGAAACTGTCAACAAAAAATTCTAACCTCCAAATAAGACATCTCTGGAGGCAAGTCGAGTCTCAACAATCGAAAATAAATGAACAAATGCGGTCAACGGGTGGTTGTCACGGGTCTAGGGGCTGTTTGCCCTCTAGGGGTAGGGGTCAAGGGTGCCTGGAGGGCATTAATCGGTGGAAAATGCGGGATTCGGGAGCTGACGGAACCGGAGTACGAGAAACTGCCGTGCCGGATTGGTAAGTAACCCTTAATATTTATGAAAAAAAAAGTTTTGTATTTTTACAGATTCTTTAAAGAGAAAAATCCGTTCTTTTGTTTCTGAATCTGAGAGAAAGGGACAAATCTTTTGTAAAGACGTTAAATTCATTAATTTTTTTTCATTTTTTGTATAATTAATTGTTACTTAATTAATAATTACTTATTGAATAATTATTAATAATGAGTCGAATTAATTATTATTAATTGTTGTGTTAAGAGCACAACAATTAATTCATTATTTGTTGTTGATTAAATAATTGTTGTGCTTTTTGTGCTGTCAAATTCGATATTGTTTTTTTTCATTAATTGTTTATAATTATTCTCATTGCAAAAAGCATTGCAAAAGCTCTCAACTATTTTTAACATTTTAAGTTCGTGTGCGAGGCAAAAGAACAATAAACAATCAACTTTTTTGCACTAATTATTCATTTTTAGACATATATAATCGTTCTTCAATGCATGAGAACTCTCCCTCTAATCGCCCGCTATTTTAAAAACTCAGAGTAGTCTCCCCTTAAGCAACAAACTTCCCCTCCGTTCCACTTTGCCCCATCTCCCCATCAATAACTCCTCAAACATAATGTCAATAAAACCAACAAATCCTAGCTGCACTGGTGCCAAAGGGTTCGAGTCCCTCCGAACTAGACCTCGCGAAGAAGTTCACGACAAGTGAGCTCCGGACAATGTGTCCAGCCACAGCATACGCCCTTCTGGCTGCTGAAGAAGCCCTAAATGACGCCGACTGGCTGCCAGAAAACGAAACCGATAAAAGAGACACTGGTGTGGCCGTGGGCATCGGCATGATCGATCTAGCCGATGTCTGCACGACCTACGAAGCCCTGAAGAAGGGCTACAGCAAGGTCAGCCCTTACTTCATCCCCCGGATTCTTCCCAACATGGCTGCCGGTCAGATCAGCATCAAATACGGGTTCAGGGGGCCCAACCACGCGGTCTCGACGGCTTGCGCGACGGGGGCTCATGCCATTGGTAATTGTTTCCCGTCCTGTCGAAATTTTCATCAAGACCTTTAAAGGGCTTTTTCCCCAGAACGAAAGAAAAAGCCCTCACAGAAATTACGACATCATCATTACCCATTTTTTGTCCTCCCCTAAAAATGAAAAATGCCGCCTTCTAGGTGATGCTTACCGCTTCATCAGAGGTGGTGAAACCTCAGTGATGGTCTGTGGGGGTGCGGAGGCCTGCATCAGTCCCCTAGCCATTGCCGCCTTCTGTCGCCTCCGCGCCCTCTCCACAAATCGCAACAATTTCCCCCAGGAGGCATCACGTCCCTTCGATAAGGATCGCGACGGTTTTGTCATGGGTGAGGGTTCAGCGATTCTCGTCCTCGAGGAGCTCCAACACGCGCTCACTCGAGAGGCTCAAATTTACGGGGAAATCTTGGGGTACGGGATATCAGGGGATGCCGCACACCTCACAGCCCCATCCGAAGACGGAGTCGGGGCGATTCTGGCGATGGACAGGGCCATCAAGAGTGCGGGAATCGATCCCCTCGAGATTACCTACGTGAATGCTCATGCCACGTCGACTCCTCGAGGGGACACCATTGAATTGAAAGCTATTGAGACAGTTTTCGGCGAGCACAGCAAGAATGTCACGGTCTCCAGCACCAAGGGGGCGCATGGACATCTTCTGGGGGCTGCTGGCAACCTCGAAGCCCTTTTCACACTTCTAGCAATCAAGGAACATGTCTTCCCACCCACTTTGAATCTCTGGAATCTTGACTTCGAGGGACATCTCAAGTTTGTTCCCAATGAGACGAGAAAGTGGGAGGCAGGGGGTAGGAGAGTTGCATTGAAAAATGCATTTGGGTTTGGCGGGACCAATGCCTCCTTGTGCATTGCTGAATTTATGGATTAATTTTTTATTGTTGAGTAATTTTTATGAATAAATATTGTTGGTAATTTGGAAGTTTTATTGATTCTGATTGAAGCACTCATGTTTCTGTATATTCCTCTTGAAATTCTTTAAATGATTATTCTATAGCTGTAGTGTATTGCATATTTGTTATGGAAAATGCATTTGTATGTGTAAAATAACGAGTTTCGTTTGAAAAACGAATTTCCCTGGTTGATCCAGTCAGTAGTGACATGCTGGTCTCAAAGATAGACTGTCACCAGACATAGTCACTTCGTTCTTTTAACCATTGGTACAACCACCTGCAGCTCAATTGGCAGAGTAACAACCCAGCAATCTGAAGATGCAGATTTTCTTCAAAATATTCTTACTTACTTGTCAATAAAAACACAACTTGAAATTATTTTCTCAAGAAAATTTTATTCGAGCTCTCGCATTCTCAATTACAATGAAATTAGAAAATAAATTTCAATGATTCCTTCAATGAAAAAGAAGAAAAAAAATGTCTCCAACAATTATCCAAAATATACAACATCATCTCTAATGAATCCCCAAGTGGTAGAAATTAAATGTAAAAAAGTTTTCTTTCAGCATGAGAAAAAAAATGAATCATTTTGGAATGCCATTGCTGGATTTATAATGGCTACACAATATAGCGAAGCGTTTGCGTAGATTTTTCCTCAACTCCAGACGTTTTTCATGCACCTGACACACACGTGAATGGAATTCTTGAATTTCCTCGAGTGGAATGAGACTCTCATTACCCTCATCATCCGATAATGAGTCTTGAAGCATTTGCGTTAATGTTGGAGTGAATTTTTGTTCCCTAATTAATAATAGAGGTGAAATGGAATGATTCAATTTATCGTTTCCTAAATTATCTTGACAATCACCCTCGTGACCACAACAGCCCTCGGAGCAGGCGACCTCTGAGCCCTCAGGAGTACTCGGCATTGAGACACTACTTGCATTGTGCTCAGACGAATACCCACAGTCCTGGGAGGATTGAGAGGGCTCCGAAGACGCTCTGCTCCCGTTATCACTCAATTTGGAGAGTTTTATCCATTTTAGAAGCTCCTCGGTGCACTCCAAATCCTTTGGACACGTGCAGTTCTCGTCCTCTATGTGAACCTCAAGCTTCTTGGGATTTTTGGCACATGAATCTGGTATTTTCCTAGATTTCGAGGCTTTTGGTTTCTTCGGCGACTTCTTCGGTGGCACGCAGGTACGGGGTGGGTTATCTGGGATTTGTGGCTGAATTTTCTGAAAAAAAAAACAAAGAGCAAAGTTTCAGACTCCACAGCCTGAAGAATTCTCATAAACTTCGCTTGCAAACTCACCTTTTGGCTACAGGTTTCTGTACAATTACAATCAGGCTCTGGTATATTCTCCTTCTTCCCCAGTTCATCCTGAAAAAAAATATTGATGTTAATTATAAGGACGACGTGGAGAGACTCTCTAACCCCCGATATTCCTCACCTCCTCCTTCTCGATGACCTCTCCCTTCCTCTCCTTCTTCTTTCTCCTCTTCAGCCTCAGCTTCTCCTTCTTCTTCTCCTTGACGATCTCCTCCCTCGTCAGCTCCTCGTATAGTATCTCCAGCTGGGTGATCCCCTGTTTCACCTCGACCGCCATCTGAAAATTTCGAGAAAGAGCATCGATGGCAACAGCTGCGAATACCTTGCAGACAGTCTCCTCCTCTCTGAGTCTCCTGTGCACCCTGTGTAGTTTCTCAGCCACGCAGATTCCTAGGCACGTGAGGACCTCCTCCTGGGCGATCTCCAAGGTCTTGGCGTGTCTCTCGCGACCCATGACTTCTGGCTGGGCGCGTCCGATCAATGAGCTGATGTAGTCAGAATTCGTGGGGAGGTGAACGTGACTCTCTGGGACGCAGCGCTTTATCCCTGCGTAGAGGGCAGGTACGTAACCCTTGTCTCGGATGGTCTCGGGGTCCTTCGAGAGGAGGGACGACGCTAGGAGGACCTTTGTTCGACATTCCGAGCAGAAGCGGTGCTTCTTGAGGTATGTGTCCAGGGTTGTCTCTAGGGTTTCTTTCTCTACGACTGTTAGTTCCTGGCGACAGGGGGATTTCATAACGTCCCAGACTTCTCGCCAGGCCCCTGAGGGGGGACGGGTACGTTGGACCTCTAGCGAGTGCAAGACGCAACGACGAGATTTTTTGCTACGGGGCTGTTTCTCCAGGAGGGCGTTCAGACGAGAACTGCAAGGGATTTCAGGGGAATTCAGTTTTTTTATGGATTCGGGAGGATTTCAAGGGAGATTGTTTGAAGGGTACTTTTTATAAGATATGGTGCTTGAAAAAGAGAAAGAGAACTACAACAGTAGTATTAAATAAAATATGTATTGAGTCATTAATTATCGATGTTAATTGATTAGAGGGGAAAATGCCATTGAATATGGGAGCAGCGAAGGAGGTATCTTATATAAAGATTCGACTGGTCGACTCTCTATATAAGATACTTCGAGCCCCACGCGCTCAGGGATTACCCCCCACTCTCGGCACCTCCATCGCCTCCCGAACGTTTGACTGCTAGTGCTTTTTATAAGATACGCACGGCACCGGTCAATTTTTGACGAAAAAAGTGATCATATTAAGTCATCAATTATCGACGTCAATCCATTACACCTCAAAATCTCGTAAAAAAAGCGAGGTATCTTATATGATCAGTCAACTCTACATAAATGAAGCTGAAACTAGCGAAAGATTCGACACCAGAATATTTGTCTTGGGCAAATCTTGGGGTGTACAAATGTTTTTAAGTAATGTAAAAACTTCTTCGCACTTAAAAAACATTTGGAGATATAATTATTTGACTCTCCTACACTTAAATATCCCCTAAATTGAATTTTCCGCTGGCGAATGTTCTGCTGATTTCAGCTTCATTCCACAAAAGTCAATAATCTCCCGAAAAAATAAGTCTTCCGAAATCTCGTATCAAATCCTCTTCTTATCGAAATAATAGCAACTCACACCGGGTCAGCAGTGGAAAATTTTAATTGCCTTTTAATGATATCTTTACCTGTGCCCCTGAAGCATAGTACATAGTAACCGCGGTGACTCCAGCACTTCATCACTCAGGGTAATCATGCCGTCCTTGGTAACGATGAGTGGATCTAGCGCTTGATGACCGGAGGTCATGACGTCGTAGAAAAGCCGCTCCACACTTCGCCGACATCCGACGCAGGGCACCGCCTGCCTTAGAATGTCCAGCATGTCCTTGTGGGACACCTCGAAGGATCCCTTGATCTCATCCTTCGTGAGGATATTCAGTTTACGGGTGAATTCGTCCAGGTGCTTACCACGCACCAGGGGACTTTCGCAGATGTAACCAAGACTGCTCAAGTCCATGATCATCTGGATGTTGAATTATAACTTTTTTTTCGGGAGTGTTTTGGAATTCAAACGAAGTGGGAAAGATTATGGGGGAAAATGAAATTTATTTTTTTGTGACATCTGTGCGAGAAATAGAAAATAGAGAATAGGAAATAGAGAGCTGAGTTTTTGGGGAATAACTGGGAAGTGAAGGCGGATGGAAATTGTTCATGAGGATTTTTCGCTTTGAGTGGAATGAGAACTAGAAAACGAAGTTTTTTAGGATAATTTTGGTAGAATTACAACTTTTTTCGACAATATTTAGGAATTCAAACGAAATGAGAAAAAATTGTCGGGAAAAATTAATGAAATTGATTTTTTTTCGTGGCATCCACGTGAGAAATGGAGAAGTTTTTGAGGAATTGTGATTTTCTTTAATGTTAAATTTTTATTTCCAACAAAATATTCCAAAATACGAATTTTCTCATGAGACTTATGTCACCATTTTTTGTAAAAAAAAAAAAAAAAAAAAATTAAACAAAATTACGATTCCCAACAGTCTAAAAAATATCACTAAAAATTCCAATAAGTTCTTCATCAATTCCCGAAAGTATGAAAAACCCTCAATACTCCAATTACCCCAAAATTACTTTAAAAAAATTTGGAAAAAGTCATGATTACCAAAACCCTTGAGACCGTATTCCTCAAAATTGAAAAATAAATTTAAATCTCAAAAGTAAATGATGAAATTTGCTTCAAGAACTCGCGGTTATTTCCTACGTAATTTCAAACGAGCCTTTAACAAAAAACCAATAAAAATTTTATTTACAACAAAAATAACCCAAACTACGGCTGTAAAAAAAATAATGAAAATCAAATAAAACAACGTAAACGAAAAATACGATGAAAAATCCAATAAATTTTTCATCAATTCCCAAAGTCTCGAAAATTCTAAATCAGCTTCAACAAACAATATCCTCCCAACAATTTCCAATTCCCCCGAATTGAGGTTATGTCCCCCCATGAATACCGTTAGAACCTCTCGCCACGATCCACCATTGACATAAAAAAAAATCCAACAAATTCCACAAAAATCACAACCCAATACTCACCGTCAACTGATGATCAACAATCAGCGGCATTTGTCGTTTCTTGAGATTGACCGGCTGGTCCGTACGCCAAATATCGATGAGTTTCGCCATTGTCGAGCAATTACCCCGGAATATTACCCCCAGATAAATTTCGTTCAATCAATTCCCCAAGAACAATTGTTCCCCAATAACACGTAGAATAATTTCAAGACCCTCCCAATTCCCTCGACTCCCGTTATCTCACGAAATTAATGTTTGATCGAGTGGAAATTCAACGAGGATATGGTCACTACAGTATACGTTGCACGTCTGCCATTTGCAACCGAAGCGACAGCCTCTCTATTGCTCACTTCCGCCCTTTTACCCCCACTCTGATGGGATAACTCCCACCCTTGGGCTTGTTTACGTTTTCGTGAAGGTGATTTCAGGATTTTTTTTCAAGTGTGGAGAAAGCGGTGGGTTCAGGGGAAAATCATAAGGAGGAGGGGTTGAAAAAGGTTCAAAAGGTTTTTTTTTGTAAATTTTTGTTCTTGTGATTTTCAAGGGAACTGATTTTTCATGGAAAAACAACTATTTTATCCAACTGACAATTCAATTCCAAAATTTTTGGTAACTTATTTTTTAAGGTGAGGGTCAAAGACCCTCAAGGCCCTTATCAAGGGTCATATGACCCTTGACGTCAATAAGGATCGTATCACCCTCAAGACCCTTATTAAGGATTGTTTGATCATCAAGCCCCTATCAAGGGCCTTTTGAAAAAGTCTAGAAGGGTCAAACTCACCCTACACGTCAGTAAGGGTCATTTGATCCTCAAAACCCTTATCAAGGGTCACTTGACCCTCACGTCAATAACAACACTCTTATTAAGGATCTCCTCATTAAGGCTCGTTTGATCATAAAAGCCTTTATCAAGGGCCTTCGGCCCTTAAAAAAAGTCTAGAATACGTCAAATGAAAAACTTGAGTCAAGGGTCACATTAACCCCACTCGTCAATAAGGGTCGTTTGATCCCCAAGGCCCTGCTCAAGGATCAAACGACCCTCAAGGCCATGTATTGCCGATCTGATCCTCAATTTAAAAAAAAGTAAAACAGACGAACGAAAAAATTCTCTAAAAATTTTTATTGCGAATAAAAACAATCACTTGAATCTTCAAAAAAAAAAACGGCAATCAGTTCTGCCACAGTCGCAGGACCTTATCCTTCCCTCCAGAAGCCACCCTGAGGCCGTCTGGGGACCAGTCAACCGCGTAGACCTCGTCAGCGTGTCCCGGCAAGTCCTCCGCAAGTTTTTTCGTTTTCATGCTCCAGACTTTGAGAGTTGAGTCCGAGGAGCCTGAAACGAGGAGTCTGGAGTCTGCACTCCAGGCGATGGAGTAGACCGCCTGGACATGTCCTCTCAGTGATGTTATGAATCTTCCGTTGGAGGCCTCCCACAACTTGATGGATTTGTCGAATGACGCTGAGGCGATTACTCTGCCGTCCGGGGAGAACTTGACATCATTTATCAGCTGTTGATGACCCGTCATCCTGGCGATGGGCTTTTTCTCCTTCTCTGGGGCCCAGAGGAAGAGGGTGAAGTCGTCGGAGCCTGAGACTAGGCGCTCCTCTCCCACTGCCTCGTACCGCCTCAGGGCCAGAGCCTCGGGGTCCTCTGAGGGGGCTGTGAGGTCGAAGGGACCGGTCCTCAGGACGTAGTCCACGTTCAGGGCTAGCGTGTTCACCCAGTGGGCGTGACCTTGTAGAATCCTGCAGAGGATCCCCTGGGAATTGATGAGAATCGTGGGTTGAGGTTTACGGGGGGTTTTGGGGAGGAGTAACTCGGCAATGGGTGGTTTTAGGGAGAAATGTGATAAGCGATTTTTTGGAGAGAATTTTCTCAGCTATGAAAAACGTTTAGAGAGATTTTGTTATAGAATCACTCGTTTTCCGTATTTCCTCTCTATCGGACTTATTTCTTAATTTCTATTAAAAACGCTCTTTGAAAATGTTCAGTTTTTTTTTCTACTTTTTTTGATTGTACAATCATAATTTTTAGGGGCTCCTACGTGACGTAAAATCCCATGGAAAATGTGATATATTTTACATTATGAAGATGGAAAAACAATCGAGATAACTGGGCCTTCAATAAAAAAATTCTCCTTACGTCTTCTGCCCTCCAGACTCTGATGCTCCTGTCCTGTGAGCCGGAGTAGATGAGGCCTCTCCCACCCCACCTGACACACGTGACACTCTTCGTGTGTCCGGCCAAGACCCTCGTAGTCTGGCACAATTTCGTGTCCCAGATCCTCAGATCCGAGTCCTTGGAGGCACTCACGAGGTACCTGCACTCCTTACTCCTGTGGTAAGGCTCCCAGCTGATGGACGTCACCCACATTTTGTGTCCAGTCATGGTCTTGCCAATCTGGGAGCCCGTCAGGGGGTCCCACTGGATTATAGAGCCATTCTTGCAGGCTGACACGAGTTTCGTGCCACAGGGGGACCACGAGATGCAGAGGACCCAGTGCTTGTGTCCTGTGCAGGTGAAGTGAGGTGTCTGGGTGTTGATGTCCCAGAATCTGACTGTTGTGTCACCAGAACCACTCGCTAAGTGCCGTCCGTCTGGGGAAAAGGCGACGGAGATGACTGCCTCCTTGTGACCTGGAATTTGTAGAAATGGGTTTTGTTTATTGGGGCTTATCGCAGAGAGGAGTGGGTGTAGGGGAAAATGTCACAAGAGCTTTTTTGGAGCTGAATAAATTTCCAACAAAAATGGCCTTTGGCGTTTTCCTCTAAACTCACTCATCATCGAGATAATTATTTTCTCAAGAACCCACGAAAACTCATTTTCCTCGTTCATCCCGAATTCCATCTGTTCCTTTTTTGCGTTCATCCCGAAAACAATAAAAACATTTTAAAATATCATTATTACCCTCGATGGATCCTGTACACCTGGTCACAGCCCTGACCTTGAAGACAGCTTGTGGCTGGTAAATAATGTCGACGACGTTCTCACTTGTAGAGAAGTTTTTCCCCAGGTTCTCTCCAAGAGTCCCAGTGACTTCCACGTCGTTAACGAAGAATGCGAGGGGAACTGGGTCATCCTGACCCAACAGTGCGTTGCAGATCAGCTGGAGCTTGTCGACCCCCACGTCCAGGGGAAGATCTAGAAGGCCTCCTGGTAGCTCCTCTCCTGTGTCTGATTTCAGCCGAGACAGAACTGTCCTCTTGTCCTCTTTCGACTCTTCCTCGTCTTCCAATTTTCTTTTATTCATATTTTTTGTTCAATTCAATTAGTTAGAAAATAAATAGAGATTGGCTTCGTTAGTAATCCCCAGAGGCTGATCTAAAACAATATTTATCAAATTAGATGATTACATATGGCGGAGACATTAGAGAAGAAGAAAATAAATCAATTTCTTGGAATTTCAAAGGAGTTTTTTTCTTTTCTAGTTTTTTAAAGAAATTTCTTCATTTTGTTTCTGATAAATATCTAGAAATCTAATGGAAATGGCGAAATTTTTGTTAAGAACTTTTTTGTAGAAAATTCTCAGAGCTACAAACAAGGTTTTCATAAAAATTTCTCTATCTCTCTTCAGTTTTGAGATATTCAACAAAAACTGAACAAGAAAAAAGTTCGACTTTCAATGTTTCTGTTGATTTCAGTTTTATTCTCGCTAAACTTCGTAAAATCTCTAGAAAATGGAAAGACTTTATGAAATTTTTTTTTTGGAACCTCTGGAATTCTTAATTTTCAAAAATAGAAAAAAAATAATTTTCTCATTCCCCTTCTCTCTCTCTTGTGAATTCTAGGTTAGATCTTAAATATCCGCCACTCCCGCCGCAAAAACCTTCGGGTTCCTCTGAAAACTCACCAACAACCACTCCAAACACTCCTCCACACCTCCCCAAACCCTCAAAACAAAATCAAATCCCCAAAAACTTGGATTTTCCCTTTTCACTCTCACACTTTGACACTAAACAATGACCACGTGGGTTTCCGCCAAACTTTTCGGAGCATTCCCCTCAAAAGCCACCGCGCGGCACACGGGGGGGAAGCTGGGGAACGTCAGCTGATGCCTCCCCGCCACCGAAAAAATTAAAAACCCCAAAGATTTCAAAGAAAAATCCGGAAAAACTACAATTTCTTTGGAAATTTTATACATGTTTTCCTATTATTCATCAATTATTTTACGAAAATGTGAATATATTTATGGAATTGTCCAGTTGGAGCATTATTTTGTATCTACGGGGGGTGGGGGTAATTATTCTGTTTTCTTGTGGAAGAGAGGAGAATAATAAATCCCATAAAATAGAAAGTAAAAATAAATTCTTAAGAAATTTAGAGAAGCAACAGAAAAATAAAAAATCGGTTTTGAGGCGATTTTTCTTCAATTTCAATAAAATTTCATAAATTTTGTCTTAAATTCTCTAGAATGAGTAATAATCAGCTGACAATGAAGGATAAACACCCCAAAATAAAAAAATGAAGAAAAGTTCTTGAGAAGCTCTGAGGAAAAACCTAAATGATAAAAAAAAAATGATTTCTATGCATTTTTCCTCATATCCACAACTTTCATCATTTTTTCATGAAATCTGGAGTTTGTGGAGATGCCCCCAGGTGGCGTCGAGCGTTCACCGCCAATAATCGAGCACCTGGGGGCATTATTCGTGGGAAAAAACCTCGGCGTCGTGCGTTGAGACCGTCGAGTCCAACAAATAATTAATTAATCCCTCGTAAATTCACCCGTTTTTTTATTTTCGATACTTTTTCGGAGTTTCTGGGGGTTAATTTGCTGTTGGAACGGTTGTTTGGGGCTCTAGGGGTTGGGACAATGTGGGAGAGTTCTCAGGACGTCTAGAGGAACAAAAAAAACGTTGGGGTGAATTTTTTTTCAGTCGAGAAATGTCTGGTGAGGGTCAAGGGAACAGCAGTCCAAGTCTTCTGGGTAATCTCAGGAATTTCAGGTTTCAGAAGAAGAACGTCAAGAAATTAATCATGTGTGAGTATTTTTTATTAATTTTTTTTCAAGTCTTTGTTCTCCATTTTTGCGACAGGACAATGTATTGAGAGATCGAACACAATTCTGCGTTTATTTATTTTATTTTTTTGTTAATTCAGAGTTATGTCTAGGGGAGGGCGACCCTGAGGGTCTGAGAAACATTTTTACGGAGAACAATTTTTTTTTTAGAGAAAGTCTTTTTTTATGCATTTCTCTATTTTTATGATTAAAGACAATTTTGTGGAGAGACTAAAGACAATTCTTCATTTATTTATTCATTTTTTTTCGGTTTTTGGTGCAGCTGATGACGACAGCAATCTGACGAGTCCTGAGCTTCTCCCGAGGAGGAAGTGTGTTAACAGGATTGTGGACAGTGATGAGGAGACCTCGGAGGGACCCCCGAAGATCGTCGGGGGAGAGAGCGATGCTGAGGATGTGGAGAGGGAGAGGAAGATGAAGTACCTGAGTGGAGAGTATCCAGACATTGAGTCTTCGGTGAGGATGGGCTTGAGAAAGAGTTTGGGATGGAAGGATTTGGGTTGGGGAGGGAATGTGAGAGGTTTTTGTCGCGAATTTTAAAAGCTACAAAAAAGGTTTGGAGACATTTTTACGTAGGACCACTAGTTTTCGAGGTATTTGGAGAAACCGTAAATGAAAAATACAAAACAGGTCTGTTTGAGGGGTCCCGGAGATTTTTGGATTTGGCCGAATTACTCGACCGCGAATTTATGGAGATTCAGCTTCGTTTCGAACAAGGTCTTTTAACATTTTCTCCCAGAACCCCTCGTCTACGAGATAAATCCAAATTCAGTAGCAAAGCGATAAACTGGGTCAAGTCAATTTTGACTATCGGCCAGTTTTTGACGAATATCTCGGAATCTAAAGGAGATAGAAAAATTTTCATCACAACATTTTTGTAGAGCCAATTGAGGGCTATAAAAAAGGTCATGAGAAAAATTTCGTCATCTCTTAGATTCCGAGATATTCATCAATCAAAATTCTCCCCAAATTATCAATTAACAATTCTTCCCTCCAGAAAATCCGAGAAGTTCTGACGGACTCCAATTGGAACACAGAGGAAGCCCAATCAGCCCTGAAATCGTTGAAGAAGCGTCCCCTGAAGAAGTCCAAGAACTCGAGCAAGAAGAAACGTCGAAAAAGGGAGGACGACGAGGAGGAGACCAACATTGACTCGGACGAGGCGACCTACACCACCAAAGTATTCGACAGCGACGAGGACTCGGACGCAGAGATCTCCAACGACTTGACTGGCGACAAAAAAGCCGTTCTGGGCTTCATGCAGACTGGGAGGATGGCGGAGCTGCTGCTGATGCCCCACTGCTCCCAGAAGAAGGCACAAGCCATCATCGACGCCAGACCCTTCGAGAACTGGAGGGATCTCGTCGAGAAATTCCAGACGAGCAAGTACCTGGACACTGAACTCCTGAACTCGGCGCAGAGTCTTCTGGCCACTAGGAGTGTCGTGGAGGCCCTGATGAAGAAGTGCCTCCGTCTGTCTGGTAATTTACCACTGAACCCATTGATCATCTCCATAAAGTATAATGATGAAGACAAGTGTGACAATATTTTTGCTGCCAAATGGAAGCATTGCAATCCTTCAATTTTCACATTCTCTAATTTTTATTGGAAATGACGTAGAATAGTCTGAAACGTAAAAATACGAATTCCCGGTGGTCAATTTTCAGAAAATATTTTTGGGCAAATATTGACGCAATTACCGTTGACTCTTTATATAAGATACTTGTCTTATTCAATGAAATTTTTATACTGTCCTCTTTCCCTGTATTTCGAGCACTACAAGCCCAAGCCCCTCAGACCCTCAGAATCCCTCCCTCAAACAATAAGTATCTTATACAGAGAGTGCCTCCTCCACCCGGAAAAGTCTCACCAAGTCCCCTTCACCCTTCCAGCGAACATGGAGAAGGCAGTATCGGCCGGCTCCCACATGATACCCACCCAGCCCTCGAGCCTCTCCCCCGAGCTGACCCTGGCCCCCTACCAGATGGTGGGCCTCAACTGGCTGGCAGTAATGCACTCCCAGAACGTCAACGGCATCCTCGCCGACGAGATGGGCCTCGGCAAGACCGTCCAGATAATCGCGTTCCTCACGTACCTCAAGGAGACCTCTCCCTCGCCCCCCGATGGTCCCCACCTCATCGTCGTCCCCAGCTCAACCATGGAGAATTGGTCCAACGAGCTCTCCCGCTGGTCGCCCTCCCTCAACGTTGTCCAGTACTACGGCTCCCAGGACGAGAGAAAATGCATGCGCATGGGCTGGAGAAACGGCGACCTGGACGACGTCGACATCCTCCTGACGACTTACAACCTCGTCTCGTCAACCCCAGAGGAGCGCCGACTCTTCCGGGTCCTTCCCATCGAGTACGTCATCTTCGATGAGGCGCACATGCTGAAGAACATGTCGACAATTCGTTACGAAAATCTCGTGAGGATCAATGCCAAGCACCGGGTGCTCCTCACAGGGACTCCCCTCCAGAACAATCTCCTGGAGCTCATATCCCTCCTCATCTTCGTGATGCCCTCGATATTTGCGGGCAAGCAGAACGACCTGAAGAGCCTCTTCGCGAAGAATCCGAAGCTCCAGAGTGAGAGGGACAGCGAGGAGCTGCCACTCTTCGAGCAGGAGCAGGTGAAAAATGCGAAGCAGATCATGAGACCCTTCGTCCTGAGGAGGCTGAAGTCAGAGGTCCTGAGGGATCTGCCGACCAAGACTGAGGCAATCGTCAGGTGCCCCATGATCAAGAAGCAGAAGGAGCTTTATCAGAAGTTTATCAGGGAGTTCTCGGAGGAGGCCGGCAGCTCTGCCGAGGTCAATGGGGTTGGGATGATGATGCAGCTGAGGAAGCTCGCTAATCATCCGGTTTTGATCAGGGATTATTATGATGAGGATAAGGTGGAGGTGATCTCCAAGAGGCTGGCCAAGGATCCGACCTACAAGCAGACGAATCCACAGTTTATTTTTGAGGATCTTGTTTGGATGAGTGATTACCAGATTGCTGAGCTCACGAGGGTTCACAGGTGAGCGCGCGTGGGGGTGGGTGACGATGGAGAGGTGACACATTTAAGTTGAAACTTTTGGGTATTTATTATGATATGTAAAGGGTTTAAGGGTTTAAGAATTCAGAGTTGACTCTGGGTTTGATTCATCAGGGTTTTGAGTTGACCTACAGAATTTGACCCTCAATTTTGAAACCTATAATTTCATTTTTACCAATTGGTCGTTGACCCATAGGTTTCAGCCCTCAGGTTGGCCTACATTATTTTACCCCTACGAATTGACCCTCAATTTAACCCATAACATTTTACTTATAGGAATTGACTCTCAATTTAAGTCAGAAGAATTGACCCTGAATTTTGAAGAATACGATTTTCAGTTATTAATATGTTTGACCCGTTGGAATTGACTCTCAGTTCAACCCATTCACCATCCATTCGATCCATTCGATTTGATCTATACAACGTAATTAATACGTAGTCAACCTCAGGTTGACCTATACAAATTCTGAGGGTCAACTCTTATGGGTGAAATTGAGTCAACTTCAGGGTCAAATCCTATGAGTTAACCATCAGTTTCCAGTCAACCCAAAAATCCCCATAATTTTTCACACAGGTGTCTTGGAGGGTTCGCCTTACCCCAGGAGATCATTCCAGAGTCTGGCAAACTGAAGATGCTGGATGAGCACCTGCCCAAGTTGAAGGCCGAAGGACACCGAGTTTTAATCTTCAGCCAGTTTACAATGGTGCTGGATTACCTGGAGGAGTACCTGACGATGAGGGGACATGTGTTCTTGAGATTGGATGGGCAGACACCTGTGGTCGAGAGGCAGGATCTCATCGATGAATTCACGAATGATGAGGGGATCTTTGTGTTTTTATTGAGCACCAAGGCTGGAGGGCTGGGAATCAATCTGACTGCGGCCGATACTGTGATCATTCATGATATCGATTTTAATCCGTATAATGATAAGCAGGCAGAGGACAGGTGTCATCGAGTTGGGCAGACCAAGTGAGTTTTATTGAATTAATTTTTAAATCTATCCTTTAATTGATAATTTTATTTTTTTCTTCATTTCATTCTTTTTTTTATTGATTTATGCAGTTGAGAGAATTATGAAAGGAAGAAAATCATTATGCAGATGATTTTCTTGTTTGATTCCTATGAAATTTTGAAATTGTGAATTTCTTAATTTTTTTTATTATGCTCAGGGATTAATTTTGGGTTTTTGTTGTTAATAGACCAGTGAATATCATTCGATTATTGTCAGAGGGCACGATAGAGGAGGGAATGTACGAAGTTGCTCAACAGAAGCTGCATTTGGAGCAGCAAATCACTGGGAATGAAGGTAAAATTATCAATAAATAATTTTTTTTTAAACAGAGTTGTTAAATATCCCATTAGCTTGGTAATTAATGGTTCTATGAAAAAAAGATCATGAGACATTTTCCCCTGGAAATTTAATTCTCAACAAAAAAAATATTCTGACATTTTCTCGTAAAACCACTCGATGTCAAGATAATTGCAAAAATAGCGAAGAAGAATTGTAGTGTTAGATTTTTTGTTCACTCGAATTGATTTTAATTCATTTACTTTTCAGAGAATGAAAATACGGATAAGAAAAGTATATTAAAACTGCTCAAACAAACACTGGGGCTGGACCCACACAATAAATCAGTGTCTCTGTCACCATCGAAGACACCAACAAAATCACAAAATGGATTTGATGGCGAATTTTAGTAGACAATTTATTCCTATTTTTTTAATATTCCTTTTTTTAGATAAAATTCAAGCAGCTCTCACTATTTATGTACTAATTTAATCAGCCGATAATTTATGATTCTGCATAATTCTTTCAAAAAAATATTGAAAGATAAAAAAATAACACGTAGAACAGAAAATGGTGTCAACACTTTTGCATTTTTCTATGATTTTCAGTTGATATTTTAGGTTCATTTCTATTGTAAATTGACGTATATGGTGGAAGTGTAAACAGCATTGTCATGCAAAATTGGAGATTTTTTAGGAATGCAATAAACATTAAATCGCAGCAATTTATTTCTCCTCTATTGTTTTTAAACTCAGGTAATTATGGATTTAATTGGATTGATGGGAATCAACATGTGATGAAATAATTTTTTCGTTTTATTATTCATGAACAATGAATAAATATCCATTTTCAACTCATCTGAAGGAGAAAACATGCTGTTGTTAGGAATCCCTCTATATAATAACTTTGTAAATTAAGACAACGCAAAAATTTTCAGTTGACGAGGGTCATCTCCTATATAAACTACCATGATCATTTATGAAAAGCCCTGTCCGAGGAATATTTATAAGTATGAACAAGCACAAGAGAGTGATTGTATTCACAGGAAATTCAATGATTTGAACTGCATTTTCCTTTTATTCAAAATTTTCTCCTCCTGCTCGCTTCGCTTTCTTCAGAGGAGGCTAATGATTTTTTCCATTAATCTACCTCGAATTTTATAATCATGTTTCGAATAAATAAATTCTTAAAAAACGAATGCGTTGGTTGCAGCTTTTTGTAAATACTAAAAATCTCGATTTGTCAAAGGAGCTACATCATTCTATTCTCCATCAATTTTTTTTCTATGTAATATGAACACCTAAACATACCAGAGAAGATTAAGGGGGGGGGCACAGCCCCCTAGTAATAACAATAATAAAATTCTGACTTTTCGAAACGCTAGCTCCAGGGGAATTTCAGGGGAAAATTGTAAAAAATCAATTGTTCACCAACAATACCCCCATCCATCAACAATCACCAATCTCTATTAATTTTCCCATTTATTCACCTGAATTAACATAAGAAATTGAAAAAAATGGAAACAATTTCCATCGAATACAAAAGAACTTAAATTAAATGAAGAGGAATTCACATTGGATGTGGCGATGAGTCTATAAATTGCCTAGTGGCATCCTTTATCACAGGACAGGATAATAAGTATCCAATAAAAGAAACAACTTATTAATATTCAATAAAAGAAAGTTATTAAAGAGGCACTTGGCCACGAAAACAGAGATTCGTCCTCTCAATTCCTTTTCAAGGAAATACATTCCTTTGGGCTTCGTCTTAGGCACTGGATGGTCATCTCAATGATATAAAAAATTTTTGTTATTTAATCAACGTAAATTTGATATTAAACTCTCCTTTTTTTTATTAATTTTCTTTTTTATTTTGAGTTTAAGGCACTTGGAGGGGCTCATCTCCAGGGCTTTCGGACAGCACCAGCACTTGTACTTCTTTTTATACCTCTATCTGAAAATGAGACGATTTTGAAACAATAATTTTTAATTAATTTTATGATGAATTCAAGGATAAAACGAGGGAGAAACTAAATTCACTCAACTTAAGTTTTAGTTTTAGTTGAATATCTCTGAATATAATGGAGATACGACTTTTGTGATCAGGAACTTTTTTGCAGAGTAAAATGAGAGCTACAAAAAATGTCCAGATGACAAAGGTCGTATCTGCACTGGATTTCGAGATATTCTCAAAAAACAGTAGCTAAAATCGAATTTGTAATGTTTTTTCATCAATTTAGCGCTTTAGAAATGCTTACAGACAATTCCTGGTGATTTTTTATCTCGATTATTCGATGTCCACGTCTGACATCTAGTTCTGGAGGTGCTCTGAGCCTCTGGCAGTTGAAAAATTCCCAATCTGTATCAGAAATAATTGATAAGTAGGCGAAGTAAGGCTTGAAAAATGGAAAAATGAGGCTTCTGTACTCTTTTAATTTCTTCCTGGCTAGTGTCCGCTGTGTGGCGAATGACATTGACGACCTGGCGGAGGAGGGACGCTCCGTCCTTGCCTTCTTAATCTGTCTGTCGTGAGCTATAATTTCCATTCTCTTGGATGGACTCTGTGAAAATAATTCAACGATATTCATCGATGCAGCGTCACACTGCAGCTGCAAACGCTTGTGAAAATTCAACTCTGCGAGTTCTAGTGGTGCATCTACTGTCAATTTCAACATACAGTGGAGTGCCTCTCGGTAAGTGTTTTTCAGTGATATTATTTGCTCTGTTTTCATCATTCTACGAACCAGAAAGCCACGAGCATACGCATTTATCACTGTCGCTGCTTGTATCTGGAATGAAAATAATGTTCTGGTTTTTTCATGTTGATTATCTCGAGAATGAGTGGTTTTACGTGAAAATAGCAAAAAAGACATTTTCGTCGAAAATTTCCTAATCTACACTGAGAGAAAAACAAACATATTGTCAAACAAGTCTTGTTTGGGCCAGCAAAATGGCTAGTTGAAAATTGCCAAAAAAGAATTTCTTTGGTTCGAATTTGAAAGTCTCAAACATGGATCATTTTTCTGCTTTCGACAGCAACGAGATATTTGGCTCAAGAGGCGGATAATTCACGCCAGACGGTGACTTTTAAGGATGAAAATATCTCATATAGAGGAAAATTTATCCAACTTTTATCTAAATTTATTTAAGTAAGACTTTTTTGAGAGCGTTGTGTAGACAAAGTTTTTGTGTCATTTTCTCTTAGGACCACTCGTTACCGAAATATATGTACAATTACTTTCTCACACCTCATTAAATGTCTAATTATCTCGATGCCGAGTGGATTTAGGGGAAAATGCCAGACATTTTTGTTGGAAATTTATTCCGCTGCAAAAAAGGTCTTTTGATATTTTCTGCTAGAACTCCTCGTCTCTGAGATAAGTCGCCAGCGAATGAAAAATTGAAAACCCAGATAAAAAGAAATTTGTCCTCACATGTCTCGGATCATGAAGACCCCCATTGACCACGGGTATCCTCCTCGTCTGCACCTCCAACGGGAACAGCTGTCTGCTGACACCCCTCATCTTCCCCTCAGGACTACCCTCCAGCCCGCTTTCCCCCAAATTAATGCTCATGCTTCCGTCTGAGTCAAACGAACTCGAGAATTCCTCGTTCTTCCAATCCTTCTTCCTCTCCCTCTCCCCCGCCCCCAACACCTGACCATCTCCCACTCTCACCCCCTCCCTCTGGCCATCACCCAGCCCCTCTCCCACCCTCTTAACCAATTCCATAATAGATATTCCCGGAAATGTCTTGTCAATCTGCTCCAAGAGCATCAGCTGCTGCTTCTCAAACGCCTCTTGCATGAACGCCTGCTCCCTCTGCTGACGCTCAATCAAATCCGCCATCTGCCTGTCGTGAGTCCTCTGAATCTCCCGGAAGACCCCCAAAAGTCGCTCAGACGTGCCCGCCTCGAAGTCATTAATATCGAGACTCTTCGTCATCCTCTCGTCAGGTTCAGCAGTCGATATATCGTTCGATGAGTTCAAAAGATCCCCCAGGGATCCCCCCAACTTCTTCTCCTCGAAGTAGAATTCTTTCGACCCGACCCTTCGATTCTCTAGATCGAAGTTTCGATTCTGCGAAAAATTGCGATTGATCGTTTCGAAATTTTTCGGGGTCGATTCTTTTTGCAAATCAATGTCTACATTTTGATTTTTTGACTTGGAATCTCGAATCGGCATCACGATATCTCTATTTGATGATCGATTTTTTGGTGAATTTAGATTTTCGTCAGCGATATTTCGATTCTGGCCGGTGAAATTTCGATTTTGGTTATCGAAATTCTTCTCACTGACTTTAACCTCTTGAATCTTCTCAGAATATGAATCCCTCCTCCTTAAATTTCGATTTTGTCCCTCTAAATTCCCATTCACCTCGTACAATCCCTGACTCCTCTCCAGATATCGACTCCTCTCTCCCAGATTTCGATTTTGCTCATTGAGATATCGATTCTTCACTTCATTACTGGACTTGGAGCGTTCTAGAGGCCCTCTGAACGTTTTCTTCCGACTCTCCCTGGAGGATTGAATGTCAATGGACTCGAGAGAGCCGTTGACCCTCCGAGGGTGCTTTCCCGCCCCTCCAACCCCATTTTTCAAGGCATTCTGACACGTCCAGGTGCTTTTGGCGTCATTCAACTTAAAATCTCTCCGCTTCTGTTGACCTGAGGGGACGTATTCAGGTCTATTAACCTCGATATGAGCGAGAAGCATCGGAGAGGGTGTGTCCAGGGTGTAGGAGCCCTGTCTCACGAGCTTCCTGGGCTCCTCCTGGGGATTCTGAATACTCGATGACGATTTGGACTTCTTCAGGGGCTGGGGCTCTAGACTTATCGGGATTATGTCCAGGGACGTGGGGATTCGGGGCTTCGAGGCCTCTGAGGAGCCCTCGGAGGTGTCAGAGGGGTTCACCAGGTACCTATTCAAGTCTGTGGACTTTGTCAAGGTCGTCTCGTCGTCCGAGAGGGTCTCCTCGGTTTTCGACCAGGCTTTAGAGGACTTTCGCGAGATTCGGGGGGTCGAGACGGTTTTCAATGTGTCGGGGGAACCCTCGGGGGTCAAACGCTGACGGGAGAGCTTCTCCTCGACGGAGAGGGCTAGTTGCTTGTAGTACGACATCTCCGAGCGCAACTCCTCGGTCATCTTTTGGGGAAGGGGTGAAGAAAATTAGATTTTCTTTTTTTTACTGCAGTTTTTGGGGAATATCTCGGAATCTAGGGGAGATAGGGGGATTTTTGTGAAGAAACTTTCTGCAGGGAATTTCAAGGGCTACAAGAAAGGTTCAGATGAAAATTTTCGTGTCTCCAGTGGATTTGGAGATATATGGAAAAATCCCATTCGCAAACAAAGTGAATTTGTTTGAAAGAGAGGAAAAATGATGAGTTTTCAATCGTCAATATCTCGGGATCAGTAGAGTGAAATTCCAGAGTTTAAAATGATATCTGACTCCCAGGTCCCAGGTCTCAAAATATATGTTTGTTTGATCGTTACCCTCAAGATCCCGAAGTATTTCAAGCCCCCGAGAGATCTCTATCGTCATTAACATCAATTGCCAAGCCCTCCCCCTCGTAAAATCAATCCTCAGACCCCAGAAACTCGTCCAATCCTCTGAATTACAGATTTAACCCCTTTAAAAAATCGACAAAAAATCGTACTCACCAAGGGCGGGAGTATCGGCACCCCCCGTATCCTGATACAGCTCGTGTACTCCATATTTCTCTTTCCAAACTCTCTCTAAATCCCAAAAACCACCAGTCACCAGCGCTCTAACCAATTTCCATGCTTTCTACCTCATCCCAAGAAATTTTCGCTCATCACTGATTCCAAAAGGTCTCGTTAATCCCCAACAAATCACTTCAGCTGTGAAAATCCACGATTTCTAGGTTAAGAATAACAAACAAGCATCATCACAAACCCACAAAATCCGAGATTGACCCTGGAATAAGTGGAAAACGTCCCCCCGACCTCTAGACCTCGATTTCGTCCCTAAAACAGGATTTTGTGCTGAGGGATGGCATTTTGCTCGTTATTATGGCATCCATGAGAATTTGAACAAAAAATTAAATTTGAATATCCGAATAACATAGTTGCCATAATTATGGCAAGGTTGGCAACACAGTTTTGCTCTAAAGATACAGCAGAATAAAACTTTTTAAAAATAGCTAGACCTCGATCTCGCGATCTTTTTCCACAACTCGAGGTACAAAGTCTCGAAACAACGTCTCAACTTCACGGTTTGACCCTTAAAAACCCTCGATGCGCGTAAAAAAATCTGCAATTGAAGCAGAAAATCACGAATTGTTGATGAAAATGATTCTGTCATTGAGAGAATAACTAGAAGATTCTAGTTGTTTCGGTGACCGAGGGGTTATATATAAGTCCTGCGCAGTCTCTCGTGCGCAGCATTATTTTTTTGACAACAGAAGAGAACAGAAGTGTCAAAAGACATTGTCTGAAAGGACAGTTGTTGTTGTGTTTGGAAGTGGTTGTTGACAAAATTATTGAGTACTTCGCTGGGTTGAACATGAATTTGGATTATGATCCTTCGATTCAGACTTTTGAGAGGTTCTGTGAGTGCCAGAGGGCTTGCGCTTGTGGACAGGGAACAGGTGAGACTATTTTTTGAGAAGAATTTCGATGGGTTTTGGAGGTTTAAATCATCTTTTTGGGTTTATTTTGGTGTTTTGGTGGTGGATTTTCTGGGGGTTTTTGGTTATTTGTTATGAGTTTTGGGTGATTGTTGTTGATGATTATGGTTTATGGTGTATTGTTGATGATTTTCAGTTGGTTTTTTGGGGAAGGGGAATGGAAGTTGATGATTTATGTAATTTTTTGGATTTATTCCAAATATTCCTCATTCTCATTCTCTCTTCAGTGATTTTTTATTTGATTTTCAGAGCACGAATGGTCGTGGGATGAAACCCTAGTGACGAGCACTGCTGAATTATCAGAACACAATTTAGAGGTCAAGTTTCATCCGGGGTACAGCAATGGAACTGCTGCTGTCAGGGGGAATCAGATGCTGGACAAAGACCGGCATCACTATTGGGAGATCAAGATGCTGACTCCCATTTATGGGACTGATGTGGTAAATATTGATCTATTGACGACAATTAATACTCTTTATTTGCATTTTTTTAGGAATACTTCATGAGTTTTGCTCATTTTTCGAGTGACTTTTGGGAAAAATCTCCAGTGTTTTTTTTTAGAAACCCTTGACATTTTCCTCCTGTCAATTGAAATTATTACTTAATTATAAATATGAAAATAAAGATTTTCTATGAACATGAAAAGACAATTGAAAAAAATTGAGAGAGGATTTTTTTTTCTCTGAGATTCTCTAGACATTTTTCCCTAAACTCGACTTAGAAAATAACGAAAACTACTACTGAATTATTCCTTCAACCAAAATTAAAATGAAAAAAGTTGATAAAACCAAAAAAAATGTCAAGAAGGTTTTTTTTTATTTCTCGAAATTTTCTCTTGAATCTACTCAGGAAAAATGCAAAAGAAAAACGAAAAAACAATTGAGTAAAAATGGAAAAATGAAATGGATTCTTTTAAATTTTCAATAAAAATGAAAAAAATGTCAAGAGAAAAAAATTTCTTTGAGAATGTCTTGTTATTTTCCCTTAAAAATGCCATTGAGAAGGCAAACTGATGCTGTATCCATTCAGATGGTTGGTGTAGGTACAGAGAAAGCCCAGCTGGATGTGGGTGCTAAATTCTGCTCCCTCCTGGGGATGACGAAGGACTCCTGGGGCTTCTCCTACAAGGGTAGAATCCAGCATGCAGGTGAGTCTCGTAGCTACGCGACGCGCTTCGGCCAGGGGAGCATTGTGGGGGTCCACCTGGACTCGTGGAGGGGAACCCTTCAGTTCTTCCTGAACCGCAAACCCCTGGGGATCGCCTTCACTGGACTGAGGGGACACGAGCTGTACCCCATGGTCTCCTCGACAGCAGCCAAGAGCTCCGTCAGGATCACCCACAGCTGCTCAGTCCCAGCTTCACTTCAGATGGGATGTCTTGCCATTCTGCGCCCTTTCCAGAAATCTTACCTCAATGCAGCCTTTCCTGGGCTCAAGTACCTCACCCAGAGCATCTTTGCTGACGTTCTCAGAATTAATAGAGGTATGCAATTATTCAATAATATGTAGAATTTTTCGACCGTGAATTTCAATTAATGGGGAGTTTTTTTTCGGCCTGACGGTCATAAATTATACGATTTCGATTGAAAATCTTTTAAAGAAATTTCCCCAATTAAACATTAGAATGAACTTTGTGAAAACAGTCAGATGTCTCTTCTTTTAAAATTATTTATTCAATTTTCCTCCTGCAGATGACGATGATGAAGATGAATACGAGTTCCCTGAAGAGTACCTAATCCTGGATGATTTTGACTTCGCTCTCGTGGGCTATGGTAGGAGGAAAAAGAAACGTCTTGTTGCATCTCCAGCGAGAGAACCTCTAGAATTCTCTCCATGATAGTAAATTCAGAAATTAATTTTTTCAATTCTTCATTTGGCAGTTATATGTCTTATTTTATTCGATTTTTTTTATTACAAACTCCGCACTTCTTGAGAAGTCTCACATTATTCAAAATTTATGAATTAATTGTAAAATACTGATTTTATTCGCTGAGACTATCATGACTGGGTATTAATAAACCGAGATGAATCATTCTATGCTATTTTTTTACATTATTTTTTTTATTCATAAGAATGCTCTTTGAAAAAATTAAGAATTTTTTCTATTTTTTTTTATTATTCATTCATAATTTTTCAAAACTTCTGCATGATGCAGGACTTAATTGACAATTTCAGATGACGAAAGAATGAAAAAAAAAACATCGAGATAACGTTCGAAAGATAGTACACCCGGGCTTTAAGGGAATAATTTCCTCTTCAACCCCTCGAAAATCACCTCTTCCTCTTCTTCTCCCCCCCATCTCCCTCCCCACCGCCTCTTCCCTTCCTATTCTCCTTAATTCTCGTACAAAAAACAACAGCCTGTGCCCACCCAGCCATGGGTCCCCAGATGTCCCTGAAGAGCCCATTGACCTCTCCATAAACCCCTGAACTAGCAGAAAACTTCTTCAGCCCCGGGAGATACGTCTCCTTGGCCACCTGGTAGATGTGTGTGTCCACGGGGATGGCCTCCAGGTGCCCCAGAGACATCAAGCAGATGCAGTCGGCGACCTTGCGCCCCACCCCAGGCAGAACCATCAGCTTCTCCCTGGCTTCCCCATAAGAAATCCCAGAACTCTTGTGAAGACTCTCCAGCCACCTGTTCCCCCCCAGCTCCAACAATTTTTTCGCTGAGTTGTTGATGTACTTGGCTCGATACCCGAAGCCCTCCTTCACCAGGACCTCCGAGACATCGTCGTGGGATAATTTCTCGATCTCAGGGAAGTCGAAGTGAATTTCCCCATCAACTTGTCCAATTTTTTCCCCATAGTTCTCGCACATTCGATCGATCATCTTTGTTATTCTCGTTATGTGGTTGTTGGCGCTGCAGATGAAGGAGAAGACGTTCTCGGTGGGGCTCTGGTTGAGGATCCTGACGCCTTTTACTTGGGAGGAGAATTGTGAGAAGTGAGGGTCCGAGGAGGACCAGAGGGCCAGGTGCTCCTTCAGGGAGAGCTCCAGGCGGAAGTAGCTTTGCAGGTGCTTTTGGCAGGCGGAGGGGGTCTTCAGGGTGCGGCTGTGCACGGTGAAGAGGATCTTGGAGGCGTCCTGGTGCAGCGTCCAGACGGACGAGGCGAAGACACCGCGGTATTTTTTGTCTGGGATTTCTTTCCATCTGGAGAAGAAGAAATTCATCTCCATGATATTGTTAATTTTTTGGGAAATATCTTCGAATCTGAGGGAGATGGTCAAATTTTTATAAAGACCTTTTTTGGAGAGCGAAGTGAGTGCCGCAAAAAAGGTCATGATAAAAATTTTGGTAGCTTCCGTAGATTCAAACATATTCGACGAATTTTAAAAAGGAATCATTGGATTCGACACTGGAAATTTGCATGGAAGAGGGCGGAGATGATAATCCAAGAGGCAAAGGGAAAGAATATTTCAAGTACAAGTAAGAATATTTCAAAGAAAAACAGAAACTCTGGTTTCACAATAAGAAAATTTTCCGATTCTCGGAATCTCGGAATCTATGATAGATAGCAAAATTTTTATAAGGACCTTTCTTTTAGGAAATTTAACGGTCCACAAAAAAGGTCTATACAAAAATTCTCCTATCTCCCCTCGATTCCGAGATATTCATCAAAAACTAGTCATACAGAAAATATCTAGTCTAATCCAAAAAGAAATGATTGAAGTTTTTTTCGATAATTACCTGAAGCTTTGCCCACCCTTGAGGGTGATCCCCAGGTCGAGTTCACTCCTATCACAGGGAACAGCTCCAGAAATTATTTTCAGCCCAGTCTTCGTGGATTTCGACATCGTGTTTACCTTTTCAATTGAGGTTATGAGCAATTTTCACTCGTTTCTCCCTTCTAAAATACAATTTTCAACTTTTTCATCTCCAAGTACGTCCGGAAATTCTCACTAAATGTTCAATGCATCTCACAGAGACGATCAACAACCTCTTCTCTAAGAAAAACCCAGTGTTTTTAGAACGAAAACGATTTTTCAGTTGTTTACATCCGCTTGGGGCCACTTGGGGCTGCAGGATTTGGCGGGAGGAGTATTTCAAGGTAAAAATGAAAACATCTATTTTCAATTTTTTATTCAATAATTTTCAATAATAAATAAATGACTGATTGATTTCCCACATCTGCATGCATCTCCTATCAATAATGAGCGTTACTTCCTATGGAATATCAATTAATAAAATCCTAAAAATAGAAAGAAAAACAGAATATATTAAAAATTTATTTTCCATATTTTAGATTCTTAAACATTTTCGTGATGGGATGATTGTATTCCCTGAATACGAAACATTGAGCCTCCACCGAATAAATTCACTACAAAATATTCATCTCTAGGATTGACTCTTAACATTCACGCATGAAAAAATTCAATTGAAAATCTAGCGAATTCGCTAGAAAATTCTATAGGATTTCTGTAGGAATTCTATTGAAAAATTATACTTGTTTTTTGCGCTGATTCTATTGGATTTTTTCTATTAGAATTATTTTAGAATTATGGGCACAAATTTTCCTAGTTTTTTCCACTGGATTTTATTTTATTTTGTATTACAGAATCCGAATGAAAAAAAATTAGTCTCGAGAGAAAATTATTCGCAATTAATCTCAAGAGAACATTCCAAACGGAAATTCGAAATCTATTCAGAAAAAGTCAATAGACTTTTTCTTATCGAATATTCAATAGCATCAGCGCAAAAAACAAATATAATTTTTCAATAGAATTCCGATAAAAATCCTATAGAAACCCCATAGAATTCCTATAAAATTCCAATACAATTTTCCATATTCGCTAGGTTTTCTATTGAATTTTTTCATGCGTGTTAAACTCACGTATCACTAGACATACCTTGAGGAGACAATTTAACATTCTCCAATTTCCTCAATTTTTAATTCCGATAAAAAATTTTGTCATCTCCTCAAGTATTCACGAATCATTAAAATTACTAGTACGACCCCCTATAAAATTTTTCCCCTCCTCTTATTATCTCCCAAAAGAGACGATATGTCTAATATCAAGACAATTTTCATGACACTTCGATTCATAATCATGAAAATCGTCTCTGTATTGTCCTTCGAGTGAACGGTATCTCAAAAAAATCATCGAATTCTCGCACTCATTGAATCCCAGATGACAACAACAACTTGTTGATGATTCGTTGACTGCTTCTGAGACGTCTTCACCTGTGCAATCCCCGAGAAATCCCACTATTTCTCATTCTTTCTTTGGTACATCTCCCAACAGTTGGAATGAAGAAATGATTTCTTCTTTAAATCATCATGCTGATTAATAGGGAACATTGTCACGCAGGAACGCCTGCTTCTTATACTTGTACTTCTCGCATTTTCCCCACCACGACTGCCTGGTGCAGACCTTCTGCGGTTTGAATACGAAGCATTTAGTCTGCACCATATTGAAGAATATTCTGCCCACAAAATTCGCTGACGATGTTCCTGCCATTTTCAGACAGGTTCTGAAGCTGAAATGACAGTTTATTCCACTTTATTCATCAATTTTATGGATTAGAAAGAGTCGATAGTAAATGACGAACGATAGAGTCAATACGAATGAGAGAGAGAGAGAGAGAGAGGGGTGAAGAGTCTAGAATTCCCAAGATTTAGTGAAATCATGTTAGTTCAGTTAGTTTTGTCAGTACTATTTTTGAAAAGTTGCAGTATTTTTTTCATCTCTTTTCTTTGAAAAAAAAAATTATGAGGGGTCAAATCAGTAGCAAAGCGGTAGAACGGTTCTAGTCGATTTTTACTATTGTCCACAGTTAAGGTCTGATTGAAAATTTCGGTACCTCCCTTAGATTCGGAGATATTCCTCGTAAACTTAGGTAAGATCTCAGTCGACTTGAACCGTTTCACCGCTTCGTTACTGACATTTTCTTTAGAGTAAAAGGTCTTGAGGGTCAAACGGGAGAGACAGATCGAGGGTCAAATTTTCGTGAGCGTTAAACGGAGGAGACGAGCCGAGTAATCAGAAGGGTCAAACGTTCTTAAGGGCCTAATAGGAGAGATGAGTCGAGTGATCACTTCCCTAGTCTCTCCCGTTTGGCCCTCTTGACCCATCAACCTGTCTCTCCCACTTGACCCTCAAAAAAGTTTGATTCTTTCCATTTCGTTTATCTCTCCCGTTTGACCCTCAACGCTGTTCGACCTTTAAACGACGAAATTCCCTACCGTCCTTCAAGGGTCGAATGGGAGAGTCAAAAGGGATCGACAGGGTCAAACGAGAGATTCTCTTCTATATGACTAAATGATGAAGGGTCAAATGTTCTTGAGGGTCAAATGGGAGAGAAAGGTGGAGTAATTCTTCACTCGTCTCTCCCATTTGACCCGGCGCGTATCTGGGAGACCCGGGTTCGATTCCCGGCTGGGTGAAGCGGAAATTTTTTCTCTCTAAATTCTAATTCTCCTAGAATTCTTAGAATTCTTAGAATTATGGGAGAGACAGGTGGAGTAATTCTTCACTCGTCTCTCCCATTTGACACCTTCGCCTGTCTCTCCCATTTGACCTTCTGCTCTGCTCGACCCTTAAACAGCGAAATTCTCTACCGTTCCACTTTGCCCCGCCGTTTCACATTATCATAAAATGGTTTCATCACATATGCGATAAGATTCTTACCGCTCATCGCACGAGCAATGCATGAGCGTGGAAATACGCCAATTGGCCAGTCCATAGCGTGATCCAAGCGCCGGTATCCAAAATCGACAAGCGGTATCATGTTTTCTGCAACATGCGTCGGCTTTGCCGAAGCCACCGAGATTCGTGTACTTGGTGGCGTGATTACCCCTACCACACCACTTCGTACCCGGTATCATGAAGACATCTCGTTTTCTCCGTCTTCCGTTAGGGGTTATCCCGTCTCTCGGGGTCGTAACGTTTTTGCATTCTCTGTCAATAGTGTTATCATTAGGGATCATTCCAAGGTTTGGCTCAATCGAAACTTGCAACTCAACAGGGGAGAAAAGTTTTTTACGTTTAAATATTTTGGCTGTCGTCTAACGAAATATGGTGTAACGGAAAAACCAAACTCACATTCATGTGTACATGCACTGCGCATTTTTCTCATCTATTATTTTCTATTTTGTTTCTCACTATCGGGGAAATATGGAAAAGCCAAGAATATACAGATTCCTCGAAGAATTCAAAATGCAGTGAAAATTTTATTTTCCTAAAAATCTAAATGTTCGAGTATTATTATTTTTGGTTTGTTAACATCTCAGCTCTCGTTATCGAAATTTTGTGGTGGAGTAATCCCTGGTAAATATCATGTAACAAAAAAACGAACGGAAGTTGCGCAGTCGATGACTGCGCATGGAGGGAATACGGTGCGCACAGACGTGTGTACATGCACTACGGATAGACTATCGAGTAAAGGTGCTCTCGCTGTCGCTACAATGTGCCACCGTCAACTAAAATATCTCGAAAAAAATTGTTTTCAACATCTCGAGAACTGTATTTTCGCCATTCGTCATAAAAATCCCTTGATTCTCCACGCGGTATGTCTCCATGACTTCCCAATGATGTTCGAGATATTTCCAATGACCCGCGGGATATTTCTTTAACAACAGAATGCCCGACGTTGGAACCTTCGATCTCCTCAACTCCCGAAATGCTAATTTCTGTGCAAATCATGCGTTGTTAAAAATTCGTCTCATTATGCGGAGAAATCTGCTGAAAGCCGGCGCCAATTCACATGCAAAGAACTCTCAACAATCACTCTCCTTACCTTTGGTCACAGCCGCAGTGGCTCAGCGTGAATGGCATGTAATTCCAAAAATTGTAACGCTCAGAAAAAGGCGGTATCGAGCGACAGCAATGATCGTGACGTCTGCAGCACCTGTCCAAACTGTCAAGTCCACCGAGATCTTTGTACGAGGCAGCTATATGATGTGGACCACACCATTTGGTCCCTGGGGCTATCACCATCTGCTGGAGGCTCCTCTCCACCCTCCTGCAGCCCCCCAGAATATTAATAAAAAAATCACGACTTCATTGAGACATTCGTTTCTTTCGTAAATCGATTGCCAGAAAAAAATGGACGAATGCACTTCATTCATTCAGCCCAGGGGGAAAGGGGCGTAGACGAGGGGCTATTCACAGGCGAATTGGGTGACACCGCGATTACAAAATGTGATCGATTATCCAGGATTACGGGACTGATTACACTGATTACTGTTGGATTTCGGGGTTTTCCCCGAGGTCAAAATTCACTCTCCCAAGTTCTTTTATGTTAAGGAAAGGTTTATTGCTTTATATTGCCATGGGATCTTCCCTGAGAGTGTAAAATGGGGAAAAGTGCTCTCGAGACGTTTACGGATGGGTTTTTCCCCACAAGTACACCTGGAGATCAGTAATCGCGCCCTTTTTACATACTAAGTCTCCCTCCCCCCGTCGTAATAAACAGAATGCCTTCATCCATCAAGAACAAGAGCCACTCACCTTCTCTGAAACTGTTGCCTAAACAAATGACTCCTAGCCCTGGTACTGACCCCATGGCACCTTCTCACCATCTCCGAAGTACTTCCAAGCCAATCCAGCACAGAAGGCACTCGACTGCCTCGAATAATCCACTTGTACCTCTGGTCTTGGTCGTCAGCACCACAGATATCCTCACTTATTGATCTTACGTCTATAACGTCCACGCATTCGGTCAAATTATCACCCTCATAAATCAGCTGCAGTCTCTTCCTATTTTCAAGGACCAGCTCCCTCAGTGCGACACTCGTCTCCCTTTTTTTTTCATTTTTACCGAACCCAAAAACAGAGAGAAAAGAGGGAAAAATGTGATAATGGTGTCTTCTTTCATCGATTTACTATTATGATTGTCGTAACCAGAGGGCACATAAAGAATCTATTATTTTTACGTCTCCACCATTCATTTTTTTTTTTCAACATTTTTCGGGGGAAGCTTGTCGATGTCTGCTGATAATAAATTTACGGTAGATTTAATTCCTGTGGTGGTGATGTCAAATTTCATGGAATGATTGATGAATTTTTTTTTCATTTGAAAATTCCGGATTTTCATCCTTCGTAGAATATTGGAGGCGAGGAAGGGAGGAGGGGGGGGGGGCTGGCGCACAGACAATTTTTCTAAAATATCCGTTTTGCCCCATTCGCATTGGGCGGCATGTTGAATATAATATTCGGTTTTCGCTTTGGAGGGGGGAGGGGGATATGGAGCAGATGGTTTGGCCGATATAAGGAAGGATTCCAATCCCGATGGAAGGATTTCTCCAAGGGTTTAAAATACCGAAGTGAAAACATTCACGCGGTCAGGGGATTCAGCTACTCATCCCCGTGAGAGCTTGAGCAGAAGTGAAAACATGAAGTCTGTAATCTCATGGATTACTTAACTTGGCACTTGTGGGGATTAGATTGATTGGCTTTTCGTACTGAGATATTATCGACTGTTTTTGATCAAGTGGAGGAGCCTAGGTTTTAAACTCCAAAGGGTGGAGATCTAAAAGTTGGAGCTGTACGTAAAAGACGATTTCGCGGTCTCGTTTTGGACGATAAATTTTTGTTTTACGGCCTAGGAGGGAGAAGTTATTTTATTGATTTTAACTATCGCCACTGCCGGTAGAATAGCCATTTTTTGGCGATGAAAATCAAACAAAAAAACTTGGAAAATTTGAGCCGAAAAAATTCTATAGAAAATATCTCAATAGAATAAGTTATGTCGAAAAATTGAATTCTATTGACTTTTGCTACTGAATATTTTCTATTGAACATTTCAATAGAAATTCAATAGAATTGTCTAACGAATTCGATAGGTTTTTCTATTAAATTTTTTCGTCCGTGTTGCCACCGAATTTCGAAATGAATGGCCTCTCCCTCCAAAGTCGCATTTTACGGCCTAGGCAGTAAAGTATGAATTAACAGGGCGGGAAAACGCTCCGTATACAAATGATTTAAAACAAAAATGTTCAATTTTTCGTTAAGAATTCCATAAAATTAAATCTTTACCCCCAATTGAGAATGGTTTCTCTTCCACAGATGCCTCGATAATGAAATATTCTGTTGGTTTCACCATCTCTCAACGATCTCGTGATAATAAAATTGTCTGTCGTATTGAAAATTCTACTTTTTTGGTGTGATAGAGCACTGACAAATGGTAACAACAGGATAACACTCACTGCCAGCGCCAGACACCGATTTCTGTCCGATTTCTTTCGATTCAGTAGCGAACACATCTCAACTTATTTATTTGCACTTGCGCCCAATTTTTAAGCATCAAAATTTCTGGAACTTTTTTTTTGAATTTTAATTCTACCGTTATTGTTATTTTTTCATATTTAAATCTAGCGGTTTTATAATAATTCCAATCAAAAGCCGGGCAAATTTCCCATGGAATTCATTACACGCACTTGCATTTTATTAATGATTTCTTTTTTGATAGATTAATTTGTTTAAACTTCACCTTAAAAATCTCACAGTAAGAAAGTCTTGAGGATAAACGGGCAAAGCGGGTGGTAAACACCTTACGGAACCAGAAAACAGAAATATCCGTGAGCCATTCAACGGTATCCCCGTGGCCCCCACCCCTCACTCATTCATTAAATTGACTTTAATCAAAAAATGAATTTAAATCCCCGAATTCACTTCACTCAATGAAGCCTCAATCACATTCAAAAATGAACAATTGCCCTCAACAAATAAATTAATTTGAACAAAAAACTTTCAAAAATTTTTTACTCAACGATTAAAGAAAATAACAATCAGTGATTCACATGAAAAAGTTTTTTTCCTTCCGAAAAAATAATATGAAGCTAAATTATCCGCTTAAAAAAATTGTTTCAGTGACACCTCTCGATCCGTTGATGCCTAGTCTCCCTTAACGACTCGACTGATACTCAGGCCTACGTCCTGGCACTGTCCAGCATCCCAAAACAGTTGCCCACCACTACCAGGGCAAAAATCCCCCTCGTGGTACAGTTGAATCGCACGAGATCGCGCGGCTCTTGTTCTGTACCACTTCGGCTGGCTTTTTCGGTTTTTCCCCCCCACTTCCTCGGGCACACGGAGGTGTCTCCGTGGCTGACGATTCTCTTCCCCTTCATTCTCATTCAGAATTCACCGATCAATGAGGAAAAAAATTAATTTTCCAATTATTTTTCTCAATTTCAGGTGCATGAAATTAAACTGTTCTATTTGTTTTTCTTAATCGAGAGTATGACCCGTTTTGCCCCAGCGGCTTCGAAAATATTTCAAAAATCATTTCTTGAAATAATTATTGTGATAAAAAAAGGAGGAGGGGTTCAGATAAGTTTTATTTTTCAAGTGACACACCGTCACGAGGGTCAGAAGATTCAAGACGATCATGAAGTAATGACAGTAAACATCTTAAAGTCGTGTATGTGATGTATGATTTCGTCACTGCGCGAGGAAAACGAGGGAGGGGCCCAGCCCCCCTGGGTGCGCGAGCGAAATAAGGAGAGGCCGTAGCCTTCTAGAAAATAATAGTAAACAAAGTTCTAATGGCTATTTAAAAGGTTTATTAAGGTTCTATCACACGGGAGGAGCGAGTGGGGGGTCGCAGCCCCTCCAGTATTAGCGAGGGGCGGTAACTCCCCAGTAAATAATAATAATGAAAGTTCTCATGGTCGTTTAAAAAATTTTTGAGGGTTTCATCACGCCGAAGGACCGAGTGTGGTGGGAGGGGGGGGGCGCAGCCCCTCCGGAATAAGCGGAGGGCCGTAGCCCCGCAGAAAATAATCATTACAAAAACCCTCAGGACTATACGAGGAATTTCGCACGAGAGGACCGAGAGGGGGGCGTAGCCCCCCGTCCTTACCCAGTGCAATAAGAAGGGGGCATAGCCCCCCCTTAAATAGTAGCAGAAAAAATAATTCTCGATTAAAATAAAACATTCTAAAAAACTTTACGATCAACCATTAGAAAATACAACAATCATTTCCACCAAATAATAATTTTCTTTTCAATGATTAATTGTTAATCATATGAAATAACGATTTCTGGACATAAATGAATGGATAGATTAGTATTCAGTGCTCGAAAGGGAAGGGACAACTCAGATATATGCAAAATGAATGTGCGATGTTATCTCACAGTCATCCCATGGCATTTTTGGGAAAAGGGGATACTGAGGGCGGAAGGGGGCGAGGGGGGTGGGGGCGGAGGGATGAAAAGTCGAGGGTGAGTGTGGAAGGGGCTACAAATGTTACGACTTGATGTACCATGTCCTTTCGCAGTTATAAATCTCAGTCAATTCCCGAGGGACAGCTTCAGGAACAGATCATAGAGATCACTGGGGATTGTCGCACTTTCGGGGAGGCGTGGAATTTGAATGATTAAATAAACAATTTTCTCGGGTTCCTGAATATCTTAAGAGACGAGGGGATGATAGTTCTGAAGGGTCTTGAATCGCGTATTTTCTCGGAGATTCGAGGGAAGAAGACGATTTTATTTGGGTTCTGAACACAAAATGACCGTTAATTTTTGTTTGTTTTGATTGTGAAATGGTCGAGGGAAATGTTAAATGTCAGGAACACGATTGATAAATGATAAATGTCGAATGCAGACATCGGCAGACGGTACAAATTGCTCACACATCGTGCATTATCACGTGATGATGTAAATTCGGTGAATTTTATCGGAATCAAAATAAAGAGGCTTCTATATTTATTTGCAGTTATCCTGAATGTGACCGCTCAGTGCGTCTAGTGGACGATCGGGTCAAACCGGTCAACAGATAAAGCACAATAAACTTTTCAAACTCGGTGACAATTCGTGGAAGAGAGATTAAGGATGTATGAATGGGACAGTCCGAGTGGATTCCATGGTTTATGCGTGTTGTTTCCTTCAAATTTATAAAATTAATGTCACTTGAGATGTTAATTACTCGTGATAAATAATTGTTCTTGAAATTTCATGAAAATAAAATTTAAAAACTTCATAAATTTGACTTGAAGTGTCTTTAGAACTTCACTAAATTTAGAATTTCACAGAAAAATAAGACATTTTGTTGAAGACGGAACGATCCAAGTCCTATTGAGATTAAGAATGTATGACTGGGACAGGCTGAATGAATTCGATCTTTTAGGCAGGTGCTTTCCTCCAAATTTATCAAATTAATATCACTTGAGATGTTAATTATTCATGATAAATAATTGATCTTAAATATTCAGGAAAATAAAATTTCAAAACTGGATAAATTTGCCTTAAGAATTCAAAATTCCTAGCAGGGACTGTCCCCCCGGATATCCTCAATAACCGACAAATTGAGGATTTTTTTTTCCACCAAATTCGTTTATCCCAGATTATCCCATGGTAATCCATGTAAATACTCCCACCCTCGGGCTGAAATATCCTTTGCAAAAACTTACGGTAACGCTCTCCTTTCAAAAAAGTCCTATCGTTTTCTAAAAAAAATTGTAATATATAAAATTGTGGGTTGACCAAATATTAGAGTTTTCGTGTACCGTTCCTCAGGCAAATATCTCCCAACTGAAAAAATTCGACACTCAAGGGCCCATTGAGCCCGGAGAAACTTGAAAAAGTGTAAATAATTTTCTCGAATATTCCTCACCATTTTTTCCTTTACACATTTTCTCTCGAGGGGGGAAGAGGGAGAATGGTTCAAGTAGGTGTCGGTAGGCAGTGGGTACGCGGGAGTGGACCCTCGAGTGATCCCGAACAATTGAGTGCCCGAGGAGAACCTCAGGCGGAGTCACTTTTGAATGTAATTCCTCGTCTTGCCCCTTCGAAGGGAAGAGAAAAAGGAGTCAACCCCCCATAACTGTCGAGAGAGCGAGGACAATGGACTACCATTTTCAGTCTTTCAATGCATTTTACAATAAACCACTCACCGGTAAATTATTTCAGATAATTGTGAGTGATTTTTCGGTCGATAAATATCAAAACAGAAAGCCCCAATTTCAAATTCATCTCCATCTTTCCTTTTTTAATTTTCGTTTCCCTAAAAAAACGGGGCTTTTTCTTCTACATTCACTTACCTGATGAAAAAGTAATCAATTACCCAACATCTCTGATGCCTTTTCACCCAGAACTCCAGTCCTGCGGATCAGCGGCATAAAAACTTTTATCTCCGGTTCCTCCTCAGCGCCCCAAAAGAAGAAAAAAAATATATGTAACATTATTCGACCTTGGAACCTCGCCAATTGACGCTCTTGCGGTCTGAGTGCATCAGAGTGAAAGAGGCGTGGTGAAAAAAAATAAATGTTGAAAATAAAAATTGAGGGAAAATACGAGTGAGGGATTCACCATTCTGGCATAATTAATTGTTAAGCAGTCTTGAATTTTTTGAAAGCTATGGTTTTGGGGTAAAACGGACACGTGTGACTTTTTTTTAGATGGTAATGAGGGGTTGAAATGTTGATAAAATTTAATAATTTTTTTTTCAATACAAAGAACAATTCTTTCCCTCTGTGACGAGCCTAAAGTGACCTCAATTGATAAATTTGTTTCTGACTTATGAACAATTAAAAAAAAATCTAAAGTGTCCATTTTACCCCAGCCTCCCCTATATTAAAAATTATCATCCATTTAGAATTTTCTCAACATTCATATTTCATCATTTTCTAATACAAATTAGAAATTAAAAAATTTATTAAAGATTGTTTTATTTGGATTATTCCCAAGGCAATTGCTATTTCGTGAGCCATATTTTTTTATCGATTTTTTTCATCGTTTTTGGAAACATTTATTATTAAAAAACAACAATTTTTTTAATTACCAAAACGTTTCCTTTTTTCATTTTTTTTCAACCATAAAATTTGCGTTTAAACACTCCATTTTTAGTCGCAAAAAATATTAAAAAATCGTTTTGTAAAAAACGGTATAGAGATAAGAATAATAAAAGTTTTCTTTTCCCGATTTATGAGATAGAAATTGCGTCGGTCCAATATTTCGGTTGACGCAGCCGCTGATATTCTCTCAATGCGATACTAATTTCATTTCTAGTACTGAAATTATATTGACCGTGAACATCCCCATGTACACTCAAACCTGCGGGTGAAAATCACGGGAGGCGATGCATGACGCCCCTCTTCCATCCCCCTGTTCCCAACGAAAAGAAATGGAAAAAGTGAAAAAATGGAATTAAGTGGAAATTCATACATTCACGAGGGAGACAAGCCGTGCTGAGTAAACATGAATAATTCTCTGATAGTTATCGGAGTGGAGAGCACTTAGGATCAAAGAAATTCGGCGAGATGTATTCCGTAACGCGTGAAACTTACAGCGTCCGGTGATGACGGCCCCCCGAAATGTCTCCGCTCTCCCATTTTCCTTTGATTTTTTCACTCGTGAAAAGGAGTCTTGATCGTTGAGACCGTTAGACCCCTGTGCTCTCACTCCACTCGTCTCTCACGTTTGACCCTCAACTTCGTTTGACCCTTATGATCCCTTTTTTTTCGTGAAAAAATGACCGAGGTCGTGGGTATCCTATAAAAAGTACAGTAGAGGCATCGTATATAACTACTCTCGTCCCGTTGAAAAATGACCGGGGCCAT